TCACTCCATTAATTATTGGAATTAACTTTCACTTCATTAATTATTGCAACAAACTTTCACTACATTAATTATTGCAATCAACGTTCACTCCATTAATTATTGCAATTAACGTTCACTCCATTAATTTTTGGAATTAACGTTCACTCCATTAATTATTGCAATTAACTTTCTCTCCATTAATTATTGCCATTAACCCATGACATCTGCCCCTGACCTTGACCCGTCCCCAGGCACTGCGAAGCTCCAGGAACATCTACATCCTCAACCTCTCGGTCTGTGACGTCATCATGTGCTCCATCTGCATGCCCTTCTCGCTTGTCCAGCTGACCTTGAAGAAATGGACCATGGGCTCGGTCATGTGCAGGTGAGTACCTTAACAGCCGACATATCAAGTATCTTAGTGGGACGGCCTGGTCGAACGGTAGAGCGTTTGGCTGCCAGTCCGTAGTTATCGAGTTCGGATCTCAGTTTTGGACGTGCGATTAAATAAGAACTTTACTTACTTCAATACCTACATATTTACTTGCAGTAGATTAAAGCCTAACATCTGGGTAAGGGTCAAATTCTCAGGCTGCGTGAATTGTACTCAAGTCAGAAGTATAGAAAAAATAGATTATTCAACGACAAAATAAATACTAATTTAAAATGTCGGTGTATATATAACACCAATATTTTTTTTAATATCATGATAATCTTCTAATATTTAATTTCATCAAATCGTACACAACGTCGTTCAAGAGTTGTATTGAGTCTGCAAAGGGTCCCTACTCCAACCAGTACTTTGTTCACCGTTTACAACGTAAAACCAATATATCTCTTCAATGGAAATTGCTGACATTAAATATCAAGCAGAGATATTCATTCGTAAAGCGAACAACACCTGTACTCTCTCTTTATATATATATATATATATATATATATATATATATATATATATATATATATATATATATATATATATATATATATATGTCAATTTTCTCTCGAGAAACAATGGATACACCCACAGAATCCAAGGGGAGGGTTACCTGGACATTAGTTCAAGAGATTATAGATTATCCCTGCATCTCTCTCTCTCTCTCTCTCCCTCTCGACCTTGGCCTGTATAATCCTAAGAAATGCTAAGTAATATGTTTGATACCAGCTTATGTAGCAGAATTTCCCAAAAAGAAATTCAATCGCGGCTCAATTCCTGTTTGATTTTTTAGTTTTATCTCCTCAGTAGTTATATATATATATATATATATATATATATATATATATATATATATATATATATATATATATATATATATATATATATATATATATAATGTGATTTATAAATAATATAAACCAGGTAGGTGTATACATATATATTAAATTACAAAGTAAAGGTCAATACTAATTTAAAATGTCGGTGTATATATAACACCAATATTTTTTTTAATATCATGATAATCTTCTAATATTTAATTTCATCAAATCGTACACAACGTCGTTCAAGAGTTGTATTGAGTCTGCAAAGGGTCCCTACTCCAACCAGTACTTTGTTCACCGTTTACAACGTAAAACCAATATATCTCTTCAATGGAAATTGCTGACATTAAATATCAAGCAGAGATATTCATTCGTAAAGCGAACAACACCTGTACTCTCTCTTTATATATATATATATATATATATATATATATATATATATATATATATATATATATATATAATGTGATTTATAAATAATATAAACCAGGTAGGTGTATACATATATATTAAATTACAAAGTAAAGGTCAATATTTTAAAATCATGTTAAATTACACTTCCATCCTTTAATACGAATATATAAACAGTTATCGTGATATTTCATGCGCTGTGGAAATTCCAGAAAAGTATTTTTAGCCATGATCATGTTTTGTTCGTGATAGAGAACTAGAGATCTCGTACCGTTCTCTGACGAGATTAGAGGCTAAATATTTGGTTGAATCAGACGGACGACCTCCCTGTGTACTAGGTTACCCAGCGTTGATGTCTAATTCAATAACACTGGCGGTTCTAGCCAGGCTGCGGACTGGCCGACATGAGAGTAGCCGGTGTGGCGTAAAAAACTCACGATTTCCAAATCTCACAGGAACCCACTTTCAGTCTGTTTACCACTTCCCACGAAATCACGTTCGGCGGCCTCCGTGTGATGGGATACTCAAACTATTATCCTGCAACCTTTTCGCCTGACTTATATAAATCATGACTTAGATTCACGTATTAAAAACGTGATCTCTTTCAAAATAGATGAAGTCACTTTAGAAAAAAAAAATAAGCCTCCACTTCGCAAATAGAAAAATAACTTTACCTATTCTTACTTGATGTAAAGAAAAAAGTTTAAAATATTTTGCGATGACCGATTTTTTCGAGGTTGTTACACAAAAAACATTACTGCACTGAAGATATTATTTTTTATACATTTCACTCATATAATTTTAAAAAAAAATTTCATCTATTTTTTTATTAACATGATATTGTCAATTCATTAAGTGCTGAGTCATTCAACACGCTTTGACGTCTCAGTTTCAACAATGTGAAATAGATACGAGGGGGTTACTGCTGTAGATAGCTGTATAAAAGGGCTAGTGCAAGCTGGATGTTTGATTTATTTAGTAAAAAAACTTAGGATGTTTAGTTAATTAAATCAAATAGAGCCAGGTGCAAACAGGGTGTTTAATTAATTAAGTCAAATAACACAGGCTGATTAATTAATAAAGTAAAATAGCGCAGAAAATGTGATTAATTAAGTTAAATAGCGCAAGATGTTTTTGACTAATGAAGTCAAAGTAGGATGTTTGGTTAATGAAGTCGAATAGTTCCCAGTGTGAGCAGGGTGGATAACAGCGGCCTACAGAGCATATACTTTAGTTCATGCAGAAGGTTTTGTGGCGGTAGCAATATATATATATATATATATATATATATTCTTTAACTATATGCTCAGATGTACGTAACACAACTTCTGGGTTGTCACTCTACCACCCTAACACCACCCAGTGGTCAGAAATCGCTGGATTTAAATTCGTGCTTGTTTTTATTTTTCATAGACTTTTTTTACTATTTTTTCTAAAGTTCCCAATGACCACATATTCATAGACCATAAAATATGGTCCCAAACATAGATACCATACATAGACGCCACAGACCATCAGCTACAGTAGCATACCCGCAGCATACAAAACACGGTAGCGTACAAAAGACCAAGAAACTTGAACCACTCACGCTACAGAGACTGAACTTGACAGTCTCAGACAGCAACACTCATAAATTCCCAGACAAATCATTTTTCCCCCTTAATGTCCCTATCTGCGCGGTAATTTCCCTGAAAAGCGCCAGTCCCTGGAGACGCCCCATGTACAGCAGCCGCCATGTATCATCCAGTCACGTGACACGCACCCCCACAACAAGGGGTGCGCCTTGTTTTTGTCAGTGCTAGATCAATATCTTGAGCGCTCGGCTAGAAGAAAATAAAACCTTGAACATAAGCCGATGAGATTCTTTCAAAACCGATTTGAATACAACAGTGACAGAAACGGGAAAGACTAATTTTTTTTTTAAATAATGAGGTCTGCGAAATCTTATTGAGGTTATGTCCCTTTCAAGAAAAGACACTACTTGCTTCCCTTGCTTTGTTGACCTAATTTGTAGAAATAGATTATTTTTTTTTTTGGTTAAGCTTTTAGCAAAAAATAGTGAAGCTATTTTTATATGCACTTATTTATAAAAGCAAAGCTTGCTGAGAAAAGCTCTTTATTTATACGACTTTATCTGATATGGAGATAAAAAGATTTCTTTTTCAGATAAGTATGACGTTTGACACTGACTCCTGTGACACTCGTGACTCCTGACACTCGTGACTCCTGACACTCGTGACTCCTGTTACTCTCGTGACTCCTGACATTCGTGACTCCTGACACTCGTGACTCCTGTTACTCTCGTGACTTCTGACACTCGTGACTCCTGACACTCGTGACTCCTGTTACTCTCGTGACTTCTGACACTCGTGACTCCTGACACTCGTGACTCCTGACACTCGTGACTCCTGACGCTCGTGACTCCTGTTACTCTCGTGACTCCTGACACTCGTGACTCCTGATACTCGTGACTCCTGTGAGACTCGTGACTCCTGTTGCTCTCTCGACTCCTGTGACTCTCATTCCAACCCTCCCCTGCACACCCTACATCTATAAACACACGTTTAACAAACCCCTCTTGACCTCTACACCGGTCGTCCAATGTATTCTCCCACCATCCACAATCCTGTCACATTTTTGTCACATTCGCCGTCTCCAACTCGTGGAATATCTGTCACATATCACCTCTTCAATGAACCATTTTTTGACATCCCCTCAAAAAAAATATTTTCCATTGTCATCTTTAAATGTCCATGACAAGAACACAAAAAAACATGACGTCTTGTGTCTCAAAAATCATCTCATTAGAGTAATTGAATTGCACGTTCCAAAAATATGCGTTCACATTGTTGGATTCAGCTTTAAAGCTCAGTCAAACGAAGGCGATTTGTAGGCTGAGTCTTCTCGCGAGGTCAGGAGTCACCGGAAAGTGACTTTAAAGAAAGGTCACATTCACGTGACAGTTAACTTGTGTGAGTCAACGAAGTCATTTGATTACATAAACACTTTATAACTGTCAAAAATTTGTAATTGATTCATTTTTCATGTTTTATTTTATAATATTGCATTAAATTCCCAGATGTAAATATTATGACCTCAACCGAAAGAAAAACAAAAATAAAATATGCATAAGATGGATGTGTCTGTGAGCTATACTAGTCGCGCTTTTTCAAAGAAACCCAACTGGGAAAGTCTGGAATCGTTTATTAATTTATTTATTTTTTAATCGGGTGTGGTGTAGTAAAATAAAAGTGGTTATTAAACTGGATTGTTTGGTTTTTGTCTGGTTTTATTAAAGATCGGACTTATTTGGTTGTTTAAATGATTTCGGTAACTAGAACATACATATTTAAAAAGCAAAAATAAAAAGGGATTATCTCTTGGCAATGAGAACATAAAAAAAATGCTGCTGTTTGATAGAGTATCATTGAAATAGCCTATCTCACAAGCGCAGTGAAGACATATTTTTATTATATTTTGCTCTAATAATTATTAGCAATAGCAGACACGATACTTAAAAAATATTTTGACCCGGAAATATGTACATCTATGTTTTACATTTTTTTTTAAATGTTTTTGTTTAATGAAACATATTCTCAAAATAAACTTTTTTTTGCACGTTCAATACATTTGCAACCTTTACATCGTTGATTCTAAAAACTGTGTCCCAAAAATGTTTACATTTGATACGAAAATTGAAAAAAAAAGAATTTTTTTGTTTTCTTAAAATTTCTCAAACTTAGCGGGGTTTTTTTTCACGTTCTCTTCTTTCTCGACCTTTGCATCATTAATTCGATAAAAAAAAATTAAATTTCTGAATTTTATTCAGCTTTATGTTTTTATCTAATTTTACGGCCGCTTTGATGGCAAAATCAAACTAAACATCCTTTTATCCATGTCAACAGTAATGATTGAACCAACAGGTCAAACTCATTAGCATCCATTTAAGACAACACAACAAACATTCCCTTGTGATGTCATGTGAACAGTTAGCTTGCCACATTCGTCTGAAAAATTTTGCAAGTGTACGTCTTAAAATAGCCCCACGTGACCTCTGTGTACTATTGTGTCTTGAGGCCTGCGCGGCAGGATGCTGCGCATGGCAAGTATTGTCGGGTTATTTTTAGGCCTTCTCCGCCCTGCACTAAAAGACGAAATCATTAGCCATGATAAAATGAGTTACCGCACTCCAAGGCGTCTAGCTTGGACTAAATATTAAGACATACAGTTTTGGCCAATGTCTCAGGAAGTCGTTTGTTATATAAATCATAAACGCAAAAGTGCTTATAACACAAGTGGCCATACACAAGCGGCCATACCCAAGTGGCCATACACAAGCGGCCATACACAAGTGGCCATACACAAGTGGCCATACACAAGCGGCCATACACAAGTGGCCATACACAAGTGGCCATACACAAGTGGCCATACACAAGTGGCCATACACAAGTGGCCATACACAAGCGGCCATACACAAGTGGCCATACACAAGTGGCCATACACAAGTGGTCACACACAAGTGGCCATACACAAGTGGCCATACACAAGTGGCCATACACAAGTGGCCATACACAAGTGGCCATACACAAGCGGCCATACACAAGTGGCCATACACAAGTGGCCATACACAAGCGGCCATACACAAGCGGCCATACACAAGTGGCAATACAGAAGTGGCCATACATAAGCGGCCATACACAAGTGGCCATACACAAGTGGCCATACACAAGTGGCCATACACAAGTGGCCATACACAAGTGGCCATACACAAGTGGCCATACACAAGTGGCCATACACAAGCGGCCATACACAAGTGGCCATACACAAGTGGCCATACACAAGTGGCCATACACAAGTGGCCATACACAAGTGGCCATACACAAGCGGCCATACACAAGTGGCCATACACAAGTGGCCATACACAAGTGGCCATACACAAGCGGCCATAAGCAAGTGTCCATACACAAGCGGCCATACACAATCGACAAACGGCCATACACAAGCGGCCATACACAAGTGGCCATAAGCAAGTGGCCATACACAAGCGGCCATACACAAGTGGCCATACACAAGCGGCCATACACAAGTGGCCATACACAAGTGGCCATACACAAGTGGCCATACACAAGTGGCCATACAGCGGTCCACTGGGCGGCCACAAAATGGACGCCGTCCGAGTTTTAACTTCCGGTGATGGACTTTAACAGGCCTTCACCTTCTCCAAATAAATGTCACCGCTATTGTTTTAAAATATTTGATCAACCCAATGATTTTAATTATATAAAGCCGCAATCGACTATTCTAAATATAACTCACAAACACTTTACTTAGCGCTAAAAAGAAGCAAAACACAGTGTTTAGGCTATGATCGAGTGTAGTCTTGTCCGACTTTTTAAATCAGCAACACCTGCATTCTACAAGTTCAAACCTCCCAGGTGTATTATCCGAATGTTTCCCTTTCAACTAGCTGGCATTCAACCTTCACCTTTTTACCACGTGTCAACGTCTCACATCCTAAAGAATCGGTTATTTTTAGTTGTACTGTACACGTTTATTGTATAGCCAGCAGAAAAACAAACCCGAAGCGGTAGATATTATTAGATCTAATTAATTATGCAGCACGAGCTGTCAGGGCGACACCCGGCCTTGGCCATGGTAATCATGACGGTCAAAGGTCATCTGGCATTTATTTCTCACAGTACAAAGTAATTCTGTAGATCAACGGTTGTCTTACAGTACAAGGTAATGATGTAGGTCAACGGTTGTCTTACAGTACAAGGTAATGATGTAGATCAACGGTTGTCTTACAGTACAAAGTAGGTCAACGGTTGTCTTACAGTACAAGGTAATGATGTAGGTCAACGGTTGTCTTACAGTACAAGGTAATGATGTAGATCATCAGCTGTCTGACAGTACAAAGTAATGTTGTAGGTCAAAGGTTGTCTGACAGTACAAAGTAATGCAGGAGGTCATCAGCTGTCTGACAGTACAAAGTGATGCTGTAGGTCAAAGTCTGACAGTACAAAGTAATGATGTAGGTCAACGGTTGTCTGACAGTACAAAGTAATGCTTTAGGTCATCAGCCGTCTGACAGTACAAAGTAATGCTGTAGGTCAACGGTTATCTGACAGTACAAAGTAATGCTGTAGGTCAAAGTCTGAAAGTACAAAGTAATGCAGGAGGTCATCAGCCGTCTGACAGTACAAAGTAATGCTGTAGTCATCACTTGTTTGACATTTATTTCTCACAGGATTGTCCCGGCTCTGGCCACTATCGACGTCTTTGTCTCCACACTAACCATCGTGGTAATCGCCCTTGACCGCTACATGTCCATCGTCCACACCTCCCAGTTAACGACGCGTCACGTGGTCTCGGCTCTACTGGTCATCTGGATTCTGTCCATCCTCTTGTCCACGCCGCTCTTCAGTTTCCACAAGATAGAGACACAGGAGGTGAGTGCACGCTGGTTTGTGTCATTTCTGTCTGTATAGCTTTCTGTCTGAGTTACTTTATGTTGGTGTAACTTTCTGTCTCAGTTACTCAAGGTTTGTGTCATTTACTGTCTGAGTAACTTTCTTTGTGCGCATCTTTCTGTCTGCGTAGCTTCTTGTCTGCGAAACTTTCTGTCTCATTTCCTTTATGTTTATGTAACTTTCTATCTGAGAAACTTTATGTCTGCGTAGCTTTCTGTCTGTGTAACTTTCTATGTGCGAACCTTTCTGTCAGCTCAACATTCGTCTGTCTGAGTAGCTTTCTGTTTGCACATATTTATCAATACGCAATTTCTGTCTGAGTAACTTTCTGTGTAACTTTCTGTCTGCCCTTACTTATGTCTATGCATTTTTATATCTGTGCTTCTTGCTTTGCGTCTTTCAGTCTGCGCATGTCATTGTCTTCGCATGTTATCGTCGGCGCTTTTTTCTATCTGCGTTCATGCTGTATGCGCATATAATCATCGACACATCTTTCTGTCTGCGCGTCTTACTGTCTTCTCATCTATTTGTGTGCGCATCGTATCGTCTGCGCATGTTACTGTGCACGCATCTTGACACCACCTCTGACTTGCATGTTTGTGTCGTCTTGTTATTGTAATTTATGGTAATTTTAACGTCTGCATTGCGAACACGACATCACTGGAACTCTTCAGGCCAGAAAATCAAGTCCGAAGCATTAAATTATCAAAACAGAGACAGGCTATAGTACGGAAATTATCTTCAAATGGCGGCAAAATTTGTTTATGTTGTTGCTACTCCACGACAACAACAACAAATTAATTAGCCAGTTTTAGACGAATGAAATTTTATACGGAGTTTTCAATTTTCTCAACGAGCGATGACTCATAGGATGGCCATTGACATACACATACAAAACGTAAACTAAAGTTTTACTGGATCAGTTTATCGACATACACACAAAATGTAAACTAAAGGCTTACAAGATCAGTTTATCGACCTACACACATACACTTAAAGTTAACTAACGCGTCAGTAGTTAAGTTTATCAACCTACACACATACACTAAACTAAGACCCCCACTGGGTCGATGAACTAGTTTAACCCACTAAGTTCAGTGCACATTTCGTTTAGCACCAAAAAAAATTGTCTGCTCTCAAGTTCCTATCTTGTTACTGCAGATCTCCCGAGCTCCGTCAACTTGCGTCATTTAGTCTCGCCCTGTTGGCAAGGTTTCACAATATTTTCAGCCAACTTATTTTATACCTTATTGGATTTCAGAATTTTTCAATTCCCTGATTTCGCCTACGATGAAAGTTATCCATGTTGTATTTTTTTTCTTACATGAAGTGTTATTGTTTATTTTTTGTTTGTGGATCATTTACTTTATTGAATAAGGATTAAGGGGTAAAAAACATTTTAAAATGCATTGCAAATATGACAAAATACGAATACTAGGATATAAGAATATGAGCAGTAAATATACACGGGAATATTAAATCTAGTTAAGAGATTGAAACTCTTATATATATGTAAGTATATCAGATTTTACACCAGTGTAGCATCTGGGTTAAAAACTTAATCTGATACAGACAGACCCGTTGTCAGAGTCTCTTCCAGGCATCTCTTCGACGGGGGGGGGGGGGGGGGAGGGAGGGCTTTGCCCCCCCCCCCCGAAATTTTTTCCGCCCCCCGAACGAAATTAAATTTATATAATTTATATAGAAAATGTATACTTTTAATAGTGTCCGCCCCCCCCCCTAAGAAAGTCTACCGCCCCCCCCCTCCCCGAAAATTTCAAGTGCCCCCTCCCCCCCGGGGAAAAAAGTCTGGAAGAAACACTGCCCGTTGTAGACTTAGCATTGATTGAACATATTTCAAATTTAACTCTAACTCTATAGTTAGTTTTCATCTCATAGTATTGTGACATCCGCACACTACCACAAGTTTTATAATTAAGTTAAAGACCTGTATTCAAAACTATATAAAACTGTTTCAATGAAATTTTTAACAGAATATATAGTCTAATGATATACGGAATCCCAAGATCTGAACCCGAGAGTTTTGGGTTAGTACGCGAGAGCTCTACCGAACCACCATTCGGCCACGCCATCCCTTGAGTCCATCCAGCTCTATTGAGTACCTGACTCACTCCAGGAAAATAGAAATGTCTCAGCATCTAATTACACTATACCTTTCTATGTTGTAGTCAGATAAACAGATGAACTCTACTCCACCTGCCCTATTGACATTTATGTCACACACATTTCCCTAGGGCTACAGAACCAACCGTCGAGGTCACACCAGTTGAGAAGTGCATGTCGAGGTTCAAAAGAAAAAAAAAAAAAAAACCAATTGACGTCACTTCCGATGTCGAGTCATGTTGACTCATATCACAACGGCCTTTGTCCCTCGTGGTTTTACACGGCTCATTTCACCTCCAGCCAAATCTCAGCCACCGCCCTAACGACTGTCTCGTATGACAGGCATTTCCGGTTCTTCCGCTTCTGCGACCAGCCCTCGTCCGTCTGCGCATCCACCGGAAATTACTTCCGGTCAAAATGTGAAAACAAAAAAATTCGCCACGAAAACCAATGTTAGCTTTCACAGTGGCTGTTAATGTCAGCGTTATAATCAAGAAGATGGAAGTCCAGTGATGAGAATTATTTATGCGTCTATGTGTGCACGCTAAATGTGCACGTGATTGAGAAGATCTGACATCTGTAGGCTATAGCGGTCACTCACGCGCAAGCCACGGCCTTTAATTTTCTTGCTTTACGTAAATCAACTAAGAGAAATGTTCTTAGTTATAGAATAGTACCTAGATGTTAGCCTCAGCTAAGACTCGGCAGGTTTTTTTATAATCATAATAAATGAACTGTTTAAGAATTAGTACGGAGCAAAGTAAAGTTTTAAAATACAATTTAAAAACGCAATTTTAATTTATATTCACTTATAGTGGTCATATGTTAGCCTATACAACGTTTTTGATGACATACAATTAACATTTTGCTTTTATGATATTAGCAAAACGCAATGACATAGTTACAAGTTTTCAGTGTCAATAAATGTAACAATAAGAGCATCTTCATTTTCTGTTGGGTGAGGTCATGAAGACTCTTAAATACATCTTGTCCAAATATAATCTATTTTAATATTTAAAACAGAATAATGAGATGACGTATATTTAAATATATTGCAAACGTATTTTTATGTGGGGATTTTTGGTGGTATTTTTAAATGTCGTTTCTGTTTTTATATTTTAATGTTGTTGTATTTGTTTTGCAGATGTACGAGCACAGGTTTTTCCAGGTGTGTATTGACCACTGGCCAGATGATTTGTTTAGGGAAATCTACACAACCTCGGTTATGTTGATACAGTACCTGACACCTGCTAGGTAAGTGTTGATACAGTACCTTACTCCTGCTAGGTAAGTGTTGATACAGTACCTTACACCTGCTAGATAAATGTTTACACAGTACCTTACACCTACTAGGTAAGTGCCGTGATCATTGTGAGAAAGTACTTAACATCCAATGGAATGTTGTAGTCTGGTACTAGATTGCTTTACCAGCTCTATTGAGTACCGGACACAAGGTAGGGATAAAGTCATCTGAACATAAATCACCTTCACATTTGTGAGAACAAACATCACATTTTGCCTTGTCCACTACATACAATTAAGTAGAGTGTTCGATGTGTCCCTCTATGCTAGTCATGTATTATAAAGTGTATTGCTAACGTTTTTTTTTTAAAAGAGTAATCTCATTCCTATACGAGAGAATATATCAACTCTTCAAATCTATATTTAATATTTAGGATATTTACTTGTCTTTTCATGCATAACAAACTAGATTTCAAACTTTTTTTTTATTTAAATAGTTTTATCTCGTGCCTTCACGCGAGAATATGTAAATTCTTGCAATATCGACTGGAGGAGAGACCCGGAAGTGACACGCAGATCTCCGAACGGGCCAAAGACGACTTGAAGCGTCACAGACGCAACATGGTTCTCTTGACTGCCATGGCGCTCATCTTCTCGGTCACGTGGCTCCCGTTAACGCTGCTGAACATCACTGCAGACCTGGATCACACGGTAGGGTATTGCTGTTTGGTTGATGGCGTTGATGTCAAGTTAATCAACACCTTTCATAACACACACAAAACTTGATTTCATTTGAGAACGGGCATATACATCTAATCTCGTAAAAGAGTAAAGTTCAGTTTTCCTTTTCGTTCCTTTTCGTTCCTTTTCGTTCCTTTTCGTTCCTTTTCGTTCCTTTTCGTTCCTTTTCGTTCCTTTTCGTTCCTTTTCGTTCCTTTTCGTTCCTTTTCGTTCCTTTTCGTTCCTTTTCGTTCCTTTTCGTTCCTTTTCGTTCCTTTTCGTTCCTTTTCGTTCCTTTTCGTTTCTTTTCGTTCCTTTTCGTTCCTTTTCGTTAAAGCTAATAGAGCAAGGATGGTGAGATTGAATTTTAGATGACAATAAATCACCTTGAGTCCGTTAATCTTCTAATCTTGCTTTAAATAATAAATAATAGGGTATAATTAAGCTCGAAAACAATGTCCACGTCCTAATTAATCTCTCTGGCTTAAAGACTCTCAAGGGTGGGCTATGTGTATCGGGAGAAATTGGCAAATTTTACTTGTATGAAATTTAATTTAAAATGTTTTTGTGGATTATGTGTTTGTGTTGTTTCAACGTGTTTAAAGAGGCTTTTAATGTGTAGTGTTAGAACTCTTTATTTGGATGGAGCTATTCTACACACATATGTAACGTGTAAAATGTGGGACGGAAGGCATTATGTTGGCAGTTGATGAATGGTGCACACATATACACACAGACACGCTCACACATACATCCAACTTAAAACGTCTGGGACTGAAGACTTTTAGGAAACATGGACGACATTTCTGGGAATAGCTAACGGGTATCTTTTTAAATAACTGTTGCAGTGAGCATAAGTAATGCCTTTGTTGTAATGGGCTCTAGCAATGGCCTTGTTGTAATGGGCTCTAGCAATGGCCTTGTTGTAATGGGCTCTAGCAATGGCCTTGTTGTAATGGGCTCTAGTAATGGCCTTGTTGTAATGGGCTCTAGCGATGGCCTTTCAATCACCATATGCCTTAACGTAGCCACATTGTAATTGCCCCAACTAAATGATATCGAAAGACACCACATATACAATTTTACTACATCCTATACTGACTTACTCTATTTCCCTCCTCTCTCACACCATTGCCATGCAGATAAATTTGTAGGTAAAGCACGCCCGTTATTGATTTTATCTTTCCCAAAGCTGTTAACAATTTCCAGTGGTTTATAAACATCGTATGACGTCAGAATTAAAACCTAACAATAAATGTATAAAAAAAATACATTCTCCCATCTGAAATTGCATGTTTGACCCCAAAATAAAAACCCTTTTATCCCACACAAATTGTATCCGCTGACCCCAACATGAAGAGAAATTCATTTTATATTTCCACTTTAAAACTTCAACAGCTCGTGTTTTTTTTTCAGCACGAAGCATGCTTGTGATTATCAATGCGGTGGGACGCTTTGATCTTTCTAGATTTTTGTATCCAATCTTAAATGATCCTTTCTTTAATGATAGAACTTAAGAAACAAATTGTCTTCCTTTTTGCGTGGAAATATAGCATACAGCTAACTTTAAAATATATGTTTTAACATTTACTAGAAAAATGACATGTAAAGCTTATCATTGTATTTAGATAAACTTTTTCTTTACATTTTTCTACAAGAAGTCATGGAAGGATAAATCTAAACTACTTGCCGTTTGTGTGTTAACTACTGCAACCTTTGCTTCAAAAGATTTACGATTGGAAAATAGGCCGACTGCCTTTTCTCCGGGCTAAGATCTATTTTTACTTTACTAATCAAAGAAAAACACTTTAATGGTATGCTGTTTTGGAAGTTTAACGAAGCTACTTATGAAAGTTATTTTATTTCAACAACTTATTTTTAACGGATAAACATCAAGCCATTAGCGAATGAAATGGGATGATTATAAATCACATTAAAAGCTTTTTTTCAACGGTCAGTCTAAAACCGGATTACGTCCCTTGGTTGAATGCAGACCCGCCTTGCTCAACTATTCCCCGAGAAAAGAATACACCATAAGCGATGTACACAGATCTCTCCGCATCGTAGTCACGTGATTCAATAAATAATTTAACCATCATGCTAAATATGGCTCTGGCAACCCCAGTTATAGACACGCCCTCGCCTTCTACAAAAGCGTCAACATGTTTTCTACGGTCTAAAATAACATTAATTTACAGTTCTTGGTACCAGCATACATTCGTTTTAAACCTTGTAAATACGCCATTGAGCAACTCCTATAGGATCGTGCACATATTATTATCAACCGCGAGTGGTGGTGTGTTTGTATGTCATTATGTTACATCTATTATATAGGGCTGGTGCTAGTCAAGAATCGTGTTAATTAACACTGAGTATTTTTCGTAATTTATTTTTTCAAAATATTTCGCCATCCGTTTTCTGTTTCAGGTTTCATTTTCACAAACCGTGTGGGAACTCTAAATATAATTACAAAATATTTCATGAGCGGTTGTTCTAGTATCTGACACTTTCTCAACACGACAGGAAAAAAAAGTAAAGTTCCTTTTTAAAACCAGACGGTGCATAGGGGAAGTGAAGTAGAGTTCACCCATTTCTGTGACTTCGGCATATGAATGGATAGTGTGGTCAGCACTATGCCCAGCCGCCTTTACTAACCCTTACGTGAGTTAGGTACCCATCAGAGCTGGATGGACTCAGAGCAGTTCTACTGACTTGTACCAGGATTCGAACTCGAGACTTTCTTAGACAACGCCGTTCGACAATATTCTTTTAAAGGAAAATCCAGAAAGAAAAGCAGGCTGAATTCTGAGTCTACGGGTCATAGGTTGACACGTAATAAATAAATGTGTTGAAGGAAACCTCCCCCCCCCACCCTCCCAACGCCACCCATATAACACTCAACAATGAAGAAGAAAAAGAAAATGATGTTATCGATGTTTTGATTTATTCGAACTACCTGCTCACCCACTTCTATTTTTATCCAACAACCTGCTCACCCACTTCTATTTTTATCCAACAACCTGCTCACCCACTTCTATTTTTATCCAACAACCTGCTCACCCACTTCTATTTTTATCCAACAACCTGCTCACCCACTTCTATTTTTATCCAACAACCTGCTCACCCACTTCTATTTTTATCCAACAACCTGCTCACCCACTTCTATTTTTATCCCCCAGGTATTTCAAGAAGGCGACTACAACCTGATGCACGCCGTCTGCCTTCTGATCGCCATGTCGTCGTCTGTGGCCAACCCCGTCATGTACGGCTGGTTCAACTCAAACTTCCGGAAAGCTTTCTGCGAATTTCTCGGTTTTTTGGACAGTTTTGGCGGGAAAGTCTCGTGCAATGACAAGACTTCGAAGAAAGCCTCCAACAGCGGTAACTTCAGAAGCAGGAACCTCTCCAGCTCAAAGTCGTACTCCACAAACGAGGAAAAGAAAGCCAGACCGAAATCTCGTAAAAAATCTCCAGGGAGAAATTTCCGTTTCAGTTTTGAAGGCGTTTCCGGAAGTCAGACAGACGACAGATGCCGTAACGATAAGAGTTTGACTGTTTTTACTGACAGTATAAAACACAGGCCGAAAAGCCATTCAGAGAAACGGCATTCTGCTTGTAAAGAGAGTGATAAAAATGGTACTTGCTCTGAAACCGACGCTTTGCTTCAGAATAACGACACGAAGGCGTATAGACAGGGCAACGATACAACGTCTTTCAGTCTGTGTCAGCTGAAAGACAACATCATACAGCAGTCAGCGAGCAATAACGGCCATGGTGCTGATGATCATACCCATAGCGCCCCCGACATTATGAGAGATACTTGTGGCGCCCCCCATACTATGAGAGTTGTGGTTGAGATATCGCCCCTGAATGTCCTAAAGGACACTACAGAACAGGACACAACAGAACAGGACAATATTTTAAATTTAGAACTCAATAGAACATCACAACATATCTATTCTACACAGTGACATGAATTACTTTTTATTTCTTTGTAACTTTGTACAGTGTATATAATGCTGCTTTGTATAACTATGGGCTTTTCTATTGTGTGATATTACAAAGCACTATTTAAAAAACAATTTCTTTAATAAAGTGTCTTATACAGTCCCTTACACTAAACCCAAAGTGGAGTTTAATTTAATTGTTTCGTTATTTAAATTAATTAGTGGCAGTCATACTTCGGTTGTCTGACGCAGATTGAACAAGTACCAAGCCTAAACTGCCGATGATGTATGAAACTATTTTGATTTTTTTCAATCACTAGAAGCTACCTGTGTGGTATATTGTATCTTCGATATTTTCAATTGTAAAGTAAAACATCTGTACACTAAGGCTCTTTTATACTAGTAGAACTCGAAATTTAAAAACAAAACAGAAAAAAATAAAGACGGCAGCTGATTTATTAACTCACGTGAGTGGGTAAAAAATGTAGCAGACCTGATAGCCAGTTTAGGAGGGGGGGGGGCGGAGGAAGGGGGATAGCGTGGTGGCGCGGTAGAGCTGCTAACCCAAAAGTCTCGGGTTCGGATGCCGGGTTTGAGCCCGTAAGATGTCCCCAGGTCCACCCAACTCCGATGGGTACCTTTACCACTTTAGGGTACTAAAGCGGCTGGTATAGCGCTGACCACACTACCTCCTTGTACGCCGAGGTCATTGAAAACCTGGTGAATCTTCTTCATCTGCCTAAAGATGAAATGATGATTCACATTTTAGAGTACAATTTGTGGCGTGGGTGGATCAAAAATGTAGCAAGTCTTATGACCCGTCCGTGTGATAGATCGCAGTATTCGGGTGTGTCTTCATATGTCAAAGTTAATGAAACAAACCAGGGTTGTAACGTTCAACTTAGTTCAAGTGGATTATATTTTTTTATTCACATCATTATATAAAAAGTGAACTCAAGATTATCGAGATAAAAGAGCATTTTTTTTAAAATGTTTAAAGTAAAGTGACGACACTTTAAAAAATTTACGACACTACCACTTTCTCGACTTGACGTCATTTCCAACACAATTTATGACGTCTTCTTAAACACGCATCACCTTGTGACGTCATCCAGCCCCAATATCTTTTTTCCCAGGCTTCTCTTGTAATTTATCATTCCCTTTCATCAAACAGAAAAGATATCAACGTAATCGTCACAAAAGTAAACAACCTGTCAGCACTGACAGAAGAGTTATCACTGGTATCGAAGAATCAACACAGCTACGTAACAAGTGTGTGGGCGAGCCACGGAGTTCTGTGTCGCTGTGTGTTTATCTGTGTACTTCGTTAGGTCATAAAAGTAATATATCTTAATTTTAGTTACAGTTTTATAACGTAACGTCAAGTGCGAATAGTAAAATATATTAACCATTGAAATAGCGCGAGACCGAACTATGAACCCTGGGTAGAAAATAAATATGCGTAGGCTAAGAATACATAAGAAGTAACGTCAGTATGCTTTTTATCGATTACTTTAGCATTGGTGTTTTAAAGTACAAAGTGACACAGATAAAAGTGAACCTTAATATTTTCAATTATTATTCTCTGTTGCTGTTTTTATTATTTACGATTTGGCTAGCAAAACGTGTGGGAGGATTATATTAGGATGTGATAACTAAAATGTTATTGGGTGGAGAGGTTTGTTAGGATATTTACATAGGGGTTGTATTTTATGACATGCCTGGCTTGAGATTTCTTAAAGTTGGCCACACATCGTCACAAATAAAATGACGTCACTTTTCAGTAGCCCACCCCCCCCCCCACTCCCCAAAAAGAATGGATTGCACGTTTTATTTTTTAAACAGCATTCAGTCTCTTTCATGAATCCTTTGGGGGGGGGGGGGGGGGGGTTGACACGTCAACCGCCAACTCCCATAAATTGAAAAAAAAATTATAATTTTAGAGAAAATATTTGGCCTATTTTAACCAGTGATCGCCCCCTTCACCACCCCTCCACCCGCATGAGGTAATCTTAAGTCCGTCCCCGGAGGTTTCAAATGCACCCCCCCCCCCCCCCTCCATTCACCCCACAGGAGAAAAATGTTTCTGACAGCAATGTATAAAATATAAATTTCACTGAGCAAAATAGATCGAGCCGCCTTCCCCCCCCCCCCCCACCCCCTTTCCCTCCAAGCTTTTAAGGACGACCTATAGACGTATTCGGATGTGTGTGGTAGTTCAACACATCAGAAGTTCATACTTTTTAAACTTTCATCTTTGATGTTTAGAAAGAAATGGATATTGTCAGAGTTAAATCACGTAATTCTCCCAAATTATATTTCTACATGAAATAATTAGATTATGGACGGTACAAATTGACCATAAGCCTAATCTACCCAAAGGCATCTACTGGTTTGGACGCTCGTTATTGAATTTCAATATTTAAAGGTGTTGTTTTTTTTTTCTCGTTTTTTTTCTCTTTTTTTTTTTTTTTTCCTCAGACTTGTAATTTACAGCGTCAGTTGTGTGTTCACTTTAGTATTACAGTTTTCATCACCGGCTTGTGAGGACTGATACAGATTTACAATAGTAATATTTCTTTCTCACTTGTAGCCTACTTTCATTCATTTAAGATGGTTTACTTATACATAGATCTAATACAAAAACGTCTAAATATAAAAAAATTAAAAAATAATAAAAAAACAACCTGAAAATGCAAATGTGTAATTAAATGATGATTCAAGGGATTTTTTCCCCTCGGCGTGGTGGGTGAGGGGGCGGGGGGGGGGGGGCGGGCTAGAATTAGGGGTTTTAAGTAGAGCTGAAATAAATTTGTGATTACAGAGAATTAAAATGATACAAATTTTAAGCAATCGGAAAGTTATGTTATTACAACGAGACACATCAAATCAAACATTCTTCCCTTTCAAACATCTATATCTATACAGTTCTCAAACAATTGCTTTTTTTTTAAATCAATTGTTTTAAACATTTAAATCAGTAATAATAATTTGTTTGATAGTTTTACACAGCATCAAAGATATGAACATCAATTGCATATATAATAATCAAAGAAAGAAAATAAAATGGCATAAGACTAGACTAAAATAAGGTGTGCAAACTCGGTTTCTCTTCACTGCTCAGTTTACTGTGCTCCGTCCTTAGCTGTGGAGTCAAAAGTTCACATTGTAGCCACCAATGGACAGAAATAGAAACGATCGTGGGAGAAGTGTCTCTGTAATACTCATACTGATCTATCATTCCAAAAATGTCCATGACATTAACCCTTTATTTACGGAATTAAGTTCTGAATGAATTTTTTTCTTAAGCAATGTGTTATCATATTGCTTTTGGCACATTTAAAGCATATGTTGAAGGAAATTTCGTTTCATAAATTTTTAATGGCCCAAACATATATTGGTACTTATAAGTACCGTCAGGAATGTAGGACATTTTTTCCAAAAAATTTTTTTTTTCCAAAACAGGAACAAACGATACCATTTAGTAACTAATAACATGGCAATGATTATAAAAATAATTTGTGTAATTTTCACACATAAATACAGCACAAAAGTGTATCTTGAGTACGATTTTTACTGGATTTTCTATCGGAACACATCTTAGACCTCAAAGACAGCAGAAGTTGCCGACATGTCATGCTCCCTCATTTTTATCTGTGATCTTTTTGGTGTAGCAACGGTTGCCGGACTAAACATGCTTTTTCTGGAAGCTTCCAATAACTATTACAATGAGCCGCATAAACAAACAAAAGCCTAGTCATTCAGCACACAACTAGGGCCTACTAGTAATACTAGTCATAACATTCTAGTAGGCTACAATTATACAAGTCTACATTACAGTGTAAAGTTCATAAATAGAAGTGAACTCAATGTGTTTAGGATAGTCGTAGTGGCCTACTGTTTTCTGTTTGTTGATTAAAATGTACCATATATATCTATACTATATGCAGAAATATGGGCTATAGGATACCTGTATACAGTACGTAAATGCTAGTTATTGTAGGCAAGACAGTTTATTGCAGTAAATATAACTAACAAATTAAATATTACTACTAGAACTAGGCTTTGGTATACAAATGAAGTATACTAAACCTAGTAAATGAGCATGCAACTGCTACCTTTATTATTGTTATTCTTTTACTACTAGAAATCAACATGTAATTACAATATTTCTATGGTAAAACATATGCTAACCTTCTTATAAATGTGTAAATATCATTTTTGAGTACATTTCGATAATTAATTTTCAAAATAATATTTATGTCACTTCACATCGAAAATTCGCCATTTTCTAAAAATCCTAAAAAATGACCGAGTGCCCTGACGGTACTTATAAGTCCACTTGTAAACATCGATCTATTACATAGACAATTTGATAAAAATTGTAAAACTAGAAGTTAGACGCGTTTGCCTGACTATTGAAGGTGCCAATAAAAAATATTTGGGGTTGAAAACTTGAAAAATAAGGTAAAACAAAGGAAAATCAGGAACGTGTGTGAAAACTGTACAGAACAATTGTGAACTACCGATACAGCAAGACATTGAAAATGGCGCCACACCAGAAATTTTCTAAAACCATCGATACCTCCAACTAACGGCGACTCAGGGGAGATAATACTATTAATTACCTCAAAAAAAATTAAAATTCGTATTAAATTAAAAATAATACAGGCACCTAATTAAAGTGGTACTTATAAGTACCGTCAGTAGATAAAGGGTTAAATTGACCCTTGGCGATGAAGGCACGCTACCTTGAAATATCCGCCTGTCCGGTTGAATGTTAAAGGTTTTTTTTTTTACAACTTCATGTCATGTGAGTGTGTGCATTAGTGTGTTTTGAGAAAATAAGTCTTTTTATTTCGAGTGTTTTACCTTAGTTTCTGCCAAATATTGAAAAATAATAATTTCTAACCCAGGCTGAGTGTTACAGGTGTTTTGCAATGTTATTAAAACATAATATAGTAAAAATTTAAAATGCTTTTGTGCTCCTTGTTCTTTAGTACTTTTTTCTTTTTTGTAATTACTATGGTAATATAGGAGATGATTATCTCCCATACAATTAGTATTCGCCATATGGCCGGTTACTCCGACTTCGACTTGCAATGCTTTCTGGATTTGCCTCCATGGCTTTTTACGAATTCAATGTGTCTGGGGTTAATACTATTTTTGATGAATAAAAATTGTTTTATTAAAAAGATATTAGTTCTTTGTTTTTGCCATATAGGCTAATTATATAAAAAGAAATAATAAAGGAATAACTGAAAGTACGCGCAAAAGCACTGATTTTTATCGCAATGTTTGTCTAACACTGAAAAAGGTCATTGAAAAGCAACGAATCCAAATATTTACTAAAAAAATTTGCACAGTTTAACTAGAACTCTCCAGAGTTATCTGTCCTGTTGTAAAATGGCACTAATTAGATCTCTCCAGAGTTATCTGTCCTGCTGGAATATTGCACTAACTAAAGTTCTCCAGAGTTATCGGTCCTGCTGTAATATGGCCCTAACTAAAGTTCTCCAGAGTTATCGGTCCTGCTGTAATATGGCACTAATTAGATCTCTCCAGAGTTATCTGTCCTGCTGTAATATGGCCCTAACTAAAGTTCTCCAGAGTTATCTGTCCTGCTGGAATATGGCCCTAACTAAAGTTCTCCAGAGTTATCGGTCCTGCTGGAATATTGCACTAACTAAAGTTCTCCAGAGTTATCTGTCCTGCTGTAAAATGGCCCTAACTAAAGTTCTCCAGAGTTATCGGTCCTGCTGGAATATTGCACTAACTAAAGTTCTCCAGAGTTATCTGTCCTGCTGTAAAATGGCCCTAACTAAAGTTATCCAGAGTTATCGGTCCTGTTGTAATATGGCCCTAACTAAAGTTCCCCAGAGTTATCTGTCCTGCTGGAATATGTAGCATGTATTTCTGCTGTGAATCTGCTAGCATTATCCAGGTTGTAATGCAAAAAACAATGTTATACATCGTATTACTTCCCTTTAAGAAGACACTGTCACATGTAATAGGAAAAATACAACAAAATAGTGCAAAAAGTTAGATAATTTATTAACTAGATTTAAGTATGTAGCAGCTTAACACTACAAAACAGTAAGAATAAATTCAACAGCAAACATGTGTAAGAATAATTACACAAATATTACATTTTTTTCTGCTTAAAAACAAAAATAAATATGTCATTGATCTCATTGTGTAGAAATTCAATATTATCACAAGTGTGAGAAAAACAGAAAGCAACTTACGTAAACTTTAAGTGAAAGCAATGATAAAAACACAGTAACAAATAGTTATGCCAGTGAGCTTGTTTTTTTTTTTTAATTCAAATATTTCTAATATTGTATACTGATAAATTGTAAACATTAGTGATTAAAATCAACTGATTATTTAAATATATGTATGTTACAAATTTTTTTTATATAAACTTGTATTACGATATGTTCCTTCATACATATGTGCAGTATTTTTAGTATCTGTGTTCATTTTAGCTAGATTATGTTTGGTATGCTGCCTTGTGTGAACAAATCTTCAAATGAAAACTAATATCTGCTGCCAAACATAGAACTTCTACTTAAAATGTATCCAAGATTATAGGTTTAAATATATGTGAATTAAAAACAAATTATATTTACATTAAAATTAAAATCAAACTTGTTTTCAAATATGCTTTTAAATTTGATAAAAGAACAAAATACAAAAAAGGAGATCACAATTTATTAAAAAAAACCTGGTAGAAAAAGTTTTTACAGTGTGCTTTAGGATAACAAAAATATATGAGCTAAAACGTGTGATTTAGAATAACGAATCATGTAAGCATTGTTTTGTGTTTTAGCCAGCAGTAAGTGGTACAAGTCCTAGGTACAAGTCCCAGGTACAAGTTATAGGTACAAGTTCTAAGTACAAGTCCTAGGTAAAAGTTCAAAGTACAGGTCCAAGGTACAAAATCTAGTTTCCCCAAAGTATATTACAATGTAATTGTTTCTACATTTTCTCCACTAGATGTCTCCATAATACATATGCTTCAACTTTCAATAAAATCTAACACTAAAAATCAATTTTTAAATTTCAAGTTTAAAAATAGTAGCCTATAAAAATTGTATTTTAGGCTAAAAACATTTAAGTTTAATTAGAATAATTATTTTTATATAAGGTTTTTTTTATGTTAAAACAAGTGGGAAAGGAAAAAAAAAATTTTTAACATTTTTTTATCAACTAGTAACATGTAAAAAAGGAAAGTAAAACATTCACAACCCAATTAGTGATAATTTTTTTAAAAATCTGTTGTAACTTATTTAGCTTTCATTCAGTCAGAAGAAAGTGAGGCCATTTTTTTACTTTGATGGTTACCTGCCTTTAATTGATGTCAGCGTAATCTACATGTGAGTTAACAGCAAATTAATGAATCTATACAGCCTAATGATACACTATCAACTTCTATCTTTCATTAATTAATAACCAGACATGATTTTATGGAATAATGGCTGTCGCACTCAAGATTGTACTTCAGTCACTTAACAACATTTAGCATTCATTCTTGGACAAAGAGCTAGGCTGATCCAGTAGGTCCAAGAACTAAGCTGATCCAGTAGGTCCAAGAACTAAGCTGATCCAGTAAGTCCAAGAACTAAGCTGATCCAGTAAGTCCAAGAACTAAGCTGATCCAGTAGGTCCAAGAACTAAGCTGATCAAGTAGGTCCAAGTCCAAGAACTAAGCTGATCCAGTAAGTCCAAGAACTAAGCTGATCCAGTAAGTCCAAGAACTAAGCTGATCCAGTAGGTCCAAGTCCATGTCCAACCAGACCAGAGGCAGTGGTCAGCAGATTGATGGGGGAGTTGCCATCTGTCAACAGACAGCTCTCTATCCCCAGACCTTGCAGCATCTTAAGCTGTCACAAGTAAATCATTAGGTTTAATTAGCATGCATCCATTGTTTAGGTTGGTAATGTTTAATCAACATGCATCCTATTAAACTAAAGTATTGTTTATGTTGGTAATGTTTAATTAATACACATCCTATTACAACTAAAGTATGGTTAAGGTTGGTGATGTTTAATTAATACACATCCTAATACAACTAAAGTATTGTTTATGTTGGTAATGTTTAATTAATACACATCCTATTACAACTAAAGTATGGTTAAGGTTGGTGATGTTTAATTAATACACATCCTAATACAACTAAAGTATTGCTTCGATTGGTAGTGTTTAATTAATACATATCCTATTACAACTAAAGTATTGTTTAATTGGATTTGTTTAAACATACAAGTGTCAGGAAATGCCCATCCTTTTTTTTTTTAAATATTCTATCAAGAAAGAATCTAACCACGGTTGTATAAGTACTTTAACATACAAAACAAAATCACACATATAAGTTCAATGTTTATGCAGCTTGTTAAATAGAAAGGGCTACAAAATACAATCAATGCAACATATTTTGGTACAAAATGTATTTGTCCTAATTTAGATGGTTGAAGTAACGTAACCATTTGATCCAACATAAAATAATTAAATTAATAAATGACTAGCTGTAAACGAATGAAACTCACCTGTGTGGCTGGACCAGCATTTGCAATGGCTACCAGCGTCTCAGGACCTAAACATTTCACCATTTCACTGAATTTGGCTACCTGAACACACACACAAAATCTGGATTATTTTTAGTGAAAAACAAATACAGGCAACAAATGCTACATTACATGGTAGTAATGTTGATTGCAGTACTATATTTTTTAAAACTCTTACTTTGTATTAAATAGCATTAAAATAAAATGGATTTTTAAATAAACAATAATTAAAATAATATGAAATGTGAAGTGTTGTACAGAAATTATTTTTTACTGCTGATGTTTTACACCAGAGAAACACTTTTTTGACAAACTTCTAACACTGACAGTTCTTTATAACTTTGACTCACCATTTAAGATAAAATACTTTATTGCAGATAGAATAAAAAGCTAAAATATATACAAGTCATTAGTTTTTTCCCTGATTTTAGAAAATATAATTGCAATCAACCATTAATTAACTAAATATAAGCTTTTTTAATATAAAAAGTTTGTATTCATTCTAAATTTTCTTTTATCTAAGCTAAAATATTTAAAGCACCCTTCTATAGGTCTGATAAAAAACTAGATTACACCAACAATTTACTGAACAACAGTAGTATATAACATTACTGTGCATGGATGTTAAGTTAAACAAAATTTACTTCAAGATGAGCAAAAGATTTCTGCTTGTTGATGATGAGGCTATTTTGCTTTTTCTGGTAATCAAGTTCATGGTTCCTAACCTGTAATTAATGGATTAATTATTAAAAGTCAATAGAACAATTAAATTAAAATATTTCTGATGTAATTTCTCAACAACATCTTCATTGTTTGTAAAAGCTTGAACAAGCAATTATTTGTTTCATGAATGACAAGACAATAAAACTACCATAGTCTGTGTTGTCAGCATTGCCTCATGTTCTATCTCTGCAGCCTGAGCCTTTAGACGGGAACCTAAAATAAAAAATTTGTTTTTTTTATAAGCCTTTAGACGGGAACCTAAAACAAAAAATTAGTTTTTGTAAAAGCCTTTAATTAAACAAAACCCTAAAACAACACAAACTAGTTTTTTTTTTTTATTAGCCTTTAGATGGGAACCGTAAACAAATAACTAGTTTTTTACAAGCCGCTAGATGGGAACCTTTTAACAAGTACTTAAAAGAAATAATTAGTCATTTTGAAGCATTTAGACAGGACCCTAAAACAAAACTATTTTAAAAGGGTTAATTACTGGAGCTTGAAACAGTTTGTATTTTATATTGTTCAAGATTATTAGAACATTTTTAAAATGTGTTATTGCTTGCTCTCTTCAAACTTTACTAAGGTTTAAAAATATGAGTACCTAATTTAGCATGACTCTCTGCTTCAATGAGAAGTCTCTCTCAATGTGATTACCTTCAATATGGCTCTCTCAATGAGAAGCCTCTCTCAATGAGAAGCCTCTCTCAATGAGGAGCCTCTCTCAATGAGAAGCCTCTCTCAATGAGAAGCCTCTCTCAATGAGAAGCCTCTCTTAATGAGAAGCCTCTCTTAATGAGAAGCCTCTCTCAATGAGAAGCCTCTCTCAATGAGGAGCCTCTCTCAATGAGAAGCCTCTCTCAATGAGAAGCCTCTCTCAATGAGAAGCCTCTCTCAATGAGAAGCCTCTCTTAATGAGAAGCCTCTCTTAATGAGAAGCCTCTCTCAACATGATTACCTTCAATATGGCTCTCTCAATGCGAAGCCTCTCTCAACATGATTACCTTCAATATGGCTCTCTGCTTCAATCAGAAGCCTCTCCGCCTGGGCTTGAGCTTCTGCCTTAGCCTGGCCTGTGGATTCAACAGCTGCAGCTAAAGCCCTTAGCTCATACAACTGAGTCCTAGCTCGTTCAGCCTCCTTTTCAGTTTTTAAAATTTGACGTTCCAACTGACCCCTGGCCATTTGTTCCTCTCTCTTGGCCTCATGGGCAGCTGCTGCCTCAATAGACCTGACATTAGGAACAGCTGGTTAAATGCATAACTTTTATTCTCTGTGTTAAATCATTTGTAGTAGTAAAGTTTCTGTTGAGACCTAGCAATCCATAGGGATGAAGTAGAGTTCATGTTTCTTGACCTCAGCATATGAAGGTGATGGTGTGGTCAGTACTATGCCCAGCGGCTTTTATTTTCCCAAACATAAGTCAGGTACACATTAGAGTAGGGTGGATTCAGGGACATCCTAGAGTCACTAGGCTCAACCCAGATCCCCACTCAAGACTCAGCTAATGCTCTACCATTTGACCACGCTTAAATCATTGGTAGAGACTCATAACGTTCATTACTTATTTACTTATGTTTTGGTAAATAAAATAAGCAAAATATTTTTGAAATCATAATTAAAGAAAGTGAGATAAGAACACTGGCTTCAGTAAAACTGGACTTACTTGGTGGAGATCTCAATAGCCAGTTGCACAGATTTACTCAGACTGTCCCTCATTTTAGCATCGACTGGCTCAATGCTCTGGATATCAACACTACTTACAACCTTCAATCACAAGACAGCTTATGTTAACAATTTTTTTAATAACCATGTTATAAAATATTTAAAATCAATGTTAAAAAAAATTTATTTTTCATTTTTGCGAATTTTTTAATCTTTGTTTGATTTTATTGTTTTTTTTTTAAGTTGTGAGAAAGGATGAAAAAAAAAATATTTGCTTGACTAAATAAGATTTTAAGTAGCAAAATGGTTTGGAGTTGTGAGATGAATCAAGAACTCACCAAGTTGTTAACATCAAATTTGAGTGCAGACTCCTTGCCAAACACGGCAGCTTGGATGATCTGAGCTGAGTATTTGTGGAACGAGTCAAAACTGGTGAGGGCAACGCTTCCACGGATTCGACTTCCTGTTCACAGATGCAAAAGTGAAATGTTTACAGTTTATACACACAAATAACAAAAAAAAATATTGCATGTGCTTAATAAAGTAACTGGACAATTATTTTTGAAACACTGTAAACACTTCTATATAATCAAAACCTCAAAGAGAAACAATCAAAGGCAGGTCAGGTAGATGATGTGGAGACAGACCTAAAATAGCTTTGACTTCAGACATGGGAAAGAAGAAAGCAAACAATACTAACCAATACTCACCAAAATTGAAAAGAAAACTAACGCTAAATACTAATACTCACCAATTTGCCTGCATGCAAACCCAATAAAATCCGGAACAGAAAAAATTTTCTTTGCACTTTCAACATCTGTTTTGTCCACCTAAAATTTTAAACCAAAACAATTAGAAAAAAAACAACAAATATAATTTAGAAATGACAGAAATATTAGATGCATAAAATAGTTCAAACAATTAAATTAGTAACAACTAACATCATAAACTGTATGGAACTTAATAAAAAGTGAACCTCAAAATGGTTATTAAAGGCAAGTTGAAGTCGCAGTCTTGCATGGTCGGTTGTTTCCACCTGATTCAAAGAAAAAACAATAACTTGTTTATTTCCATGTTGCGACAGATCATTTTTTAATAGAACTTTCTTCTGTTTGCAGGATTTCAAAGAAGATTTTGTTTTTCTAAAATTTAAGAATTAATGGTCTTCAAATAAAAAAGAAATATTAATTACTTTTTTACTGTAAATTTTTTTAACAATGTTAATGAAAATATTTGAAGTACCTCAATAATATCAGAGATAAAATCAGGCCCAAGCATTAAGCATAAAGACTTGAGAGCACCCTCTTTTTTGGGCTTGCCAGCTTAATATGGATTTATTAACATATTTTTATTAATTGATCAGTAATAAGGAAATAGAATAAACAAGTGATGAAATAAAATGAATTATAAAAAATGAATACAAATGCAGCACACTGTAAAAAACAGAAAATCTGTTAGTAAAATGTATGATGAAAACCTACCACTGAGACTTAGGACATTAAAATTTTCATGTGGACCCAACACAACCAAGTCAGGACCAAAGACAACTCTGGCAGTTTTCTTGGTGTAGTCGTACACTTGAACTGCTGTGTTGCTGGGGCAGCGGTAGGTCACCACACGGGTCTTATCCCTGCCCTGTTGATGTTCATTAAAGGATTAGTCATACAGCAGAATCATGGCTTTTGTAATTTATATCTAGCACTCTGTATATGAAATCTGAAGCCATCCATTAGATTAAAAGATTAGCCTAGCAACAGAATCATGGTTTTGTAATTAATTACTAGCACACAGGATACAAAATCTGAAGCCATTTAATACATTGAAAGATTGGTTCTACAGTAGAATCATGAATTAGTCAAATATTACTACCAATAAGAATACATAAACTAGGCACAATTTCAACATAAAACAAACCTACTTTAGCAATGGATGGATCAATGGACTGCTCATAGTATGCCAGTTTTCTGATATCACCAGATCCCATCCCTCCACCTAGGCTGAAAAATTTGAATCTCATTTCATAAAATATAAGGCTGAATGCTCAGATTTTTTCATTGTTTAATCAAATATTAGGCTAAATTCTCAGATTTTTTCATGCTTTAATAAAAATTAGACTAAATGCTCACTTTGTTTGTTTGAAATTAAATACTGTTATATGGGTGGTTTATTTAATAGATTTTAAACTATTTAATTTTATCAAATATTTTTTTTTAAATTTGATGTAATTTTGACTCAAACCTCAGCAGCTTCTCTGTTTCTTCACTCAGTTCTTTTTTCCACAACTCCTCCGTGGCAGTTAACATGTAGGCACATGGACCCATCACAAGTCTCACCTATGCATGGAATCATCACAACTTTAACTATCGAAAATACCCACCAAAAATAAACATTTTGTTTACTTTACATATTATATTAGTTCAAATTTTTTAAAATAAATAGTTAGTAAAACAAATACCTTTCCTGAGTGCATATCTTGAACATAGACTCCCTCATTTTTGCTGAGGGGAATAGTTTTTCTGGAAAGTGACAGGAAAATTTACTGGTTAGTATACATGTAAAAATATTTCATTTTATATTTTGATGCATAAGAAATGTTTGTACATCATTTGAAAACTAGTGTTTAATATTAAATTGGTGGTAACTGGACAAATGTGTTGCATAAAGTGGCTATTTTGAGAAATCATGTATGATTTTAAAATAAAAGAAGGGAGGTGACCCAAAAGGTAGATTTAAAGAGATTTTAATTATCTACCTTTGTTTAACAATTTTTACATTGATTGGAGGAATGTAATCTAAAGGACCCCTGATTAGCCAGTAGTCTCCAGTTTTTCTTGTAACTGGTTCTGAAAACAGATAACACCAGTTGTTTACTTTTTCTGTTCAAAAATTTTTTTCTTTAAATAAGCGTAAATTTTCATCCAACTTACTGCCATCCACTTTATCCACAAAACTATCGAGAGCTTGAAGAAGAATGGAGTCTTCTTCTGACAAGACACGAGCATTCTGGATCCCACCATCTTCCAATGTTTCACCTAAACATTCACAATTTTTTAAATAAATGTCATTTTGATTTTTAATGTAGATGTAAGTTACCGCTTATCTTATGGCTATAATTATACAGGTATTATTTGTGATTATCATTAAACATATACACACATCATATGGCTATAATAATCTAGGTATAACATGCAATCATTATTATATATATACACCCATGTTTTGGCTATCAGTATCTAGGTATTACTAAAATATGACTCTACAGTTTAATAGATGATTGCGCATTGGAAATCCTTGCACAAAGCCAGGGCCATAAGTTGAGAAGAGCCAGGTGTTGCCAGTGTATCGGGCCCTCGCTCTCCACACAGATGATGGCCTTTGGGACAGGATGTTACCTGTATGACCCTTGTATTAAAACAACTGTTAAATATGTGTAGACACAAAAAAAACTTTTACCAGGTTTCAAGAAGAAACTGCAGAGCCCAGTTCTCAACTCCTTCTGTCCCAGCCGTGGACAACCATTTTGATCAACTGGATTCAGTATCACAGCATACTGCCCTTTTTTTATCACAGTTCTCTTCACTTGCTCAACCACTTCCTGCAAAAATGTTTTAAGGTAAAAATAATTAGAGTTTACATTACTCATACACATGTTTCTTTTTAACATCAATCACAAACAATTCAGTTAGACACAAAATCTAATCAGACACATAATATAATTAAATTACATGTTTACTTTTCACATGGATCACAAACAATTCAGTTAGACACAAAATGTAATCAGACACATAATATAATTAAATTACATGTTTACTTTTCACATTAATCACAGACTATTGAGTTAGATACAAAATAGATTTAAATCAGGAAAATTATAAATTTATATCTACTTGAGTTTAAAATTTTTGTTAACTTAAGACATATTCAAGTAAACAAAATCAACTTACCACACCAACTTGTATTGTGTACTCAGTGAGAGATTCATTTGTTAACAACCATTCCTCCCCAGCTTGTCTGCAAACACAATTTTTGTGGATTGAAAACATTGTTGCTGATTGGTTTTATCAATTAAATGGTTTTTCAATCAAAGAAATAATATAAATTAAAATATTTACCGTCTAGCAACTAAGATATGAAGCATAAAATAAAGTTGGGCTCTTTCATCAATGATGTGGCATTTTTTTATACTATATCTATGCCAGTAATATATATTAAATCATCCCACAAACAATTGACAATATTATTTTTTTTAATAAATGAGATCATGTTTGCAACATGTTGTAGCACTAAAGAAGAGCCATCTGTATTACACAAAATTTTTACAACAAATATGGAAAGGAATCTATACTGAATAATGATGCGAATATTAGTAATCCATTTGTTTTTAGAAAACAAAAAACAACTTTTCCTGGTCAGAGTTACCTTTTCTTGCCTGTGAGATCTATCAAAGTATGAGTAGCTCTAAGATGTAAGGCGATGTCATTAGTTAAAGTAATAACATTTTCAATTGATATAACCTGCAACGACAGAAAACAAGTATAAGAAAATTGAATGCAAAAAGTGTATTTTGAATTAACTTAATTATTATTGTTGAGTTCTACAGAAAAGTGGCGTAAAATTTTATAAAATACTAACTTCTTCAAATACACCAGGCAAATATGCTCCAGGTTCTTTTACCAACCATTCTTCACCTGTAACTCTAGACCTTGAAAACAATATTTAAATAAATTATTATTCATTTCAATGCATCTTTTTTCAAATTTATAAGATTTAGGGTTAAAGTTCAAGCCTGATAAAAAATAACAGAATATGGAATAGTTTAATCATTATAACAGCAGTTATAAATACAGTTCAACGTGATGAAAAATTAAATAACTTTAAATAATCTTACTTTCCATTACTGTCTGTAGTATCTTGTATAGCTCGAAGTTTGAGTACTTGTCCAGTTTTAATTATTGTTGGTTCAATTATCTTTTCAATGTCCTATTAATACAGAAGAATATACATCAGAAATCCTTTTTTAAATGTAGATAGAAATATTTATACAACAAAAGGTACAAAAAACAGTTTTGGTTCTCAGGAAATCATATTAATATGAAATCAACACATCAATATTTTTCTGTAGATTTCTATTGTAGCATTTTAAATTTTTTGTTGTAAAAAGATGTTTTTTAACAATTTAACTGACCACTTCTGGTCTTGGCTTGTAGGTCAGTGGTCCTCTAAGTTGCCACCTGTCACCTGCTTGTCTGGGCGTGCCCTCATCGTCGTGGTCAATTACAGCTACCAGTCGTATAGCGAAGTTTGCTTTTACGACAGGCAGCTTCTTGATGGCAGGTGAGTAGTCGCTTGAACCATTACCAAACGATGGAGCTGCTGACAGATGCTCACCAGGATAAAGGGGGAAGGGTTCCTGGCATTAGCATAAACAAAATTTAAAATAAATTATTTTTAGCACCTGTAGTATATATTAACTAAGCCTTTAAAATTTTCTATTTTATTCCAAATATTAACTAACTAAATTTCAATTAGATACTATGAAAGTCAAATATATTTATTTGATTTCTCAAAAAGTGCATTTTAAAAAAAAGATTTAAGCAAATAAATATATATCTGTTTGAATTATTGTGTAGGCCTACTATTTAGAAAGTATCATAGTGTAAAATTACAAAACCAACGTACAGAATGAAACTTTATTTTCCTTTGACCCAAATCTAGTTCACATTTCTGTCCTTCAACATACGACCTAAAATAAATGAAGATTAAAGAATTACATGTTAAACTTGCATGGACATCACAATAACAATCTCCCCATTTTTTTTCAGTGCTAATCCATAACCTCGTCAGATTTAAAATTGTTACTCAATAAGTTACTAAATACTTAAATTATTTTAAAATATGGTCTTACAAAACTATATAAGGATAATAACATTATATTAAAAACATAAAGCATGTAATAACAGAAATGACTAACCTCATTGGATCATTAACAACACAGTAGCTGCCAGGTGGCACTACAATCATTGGCAGAGGTCCAGCTACCAACTTATGGTTGCTCTTCAGCATAAGGGTGTTGGGTCCCACCACAAGATGCACCACATTCTTATTCTGGATAGTTTGTTCATAATATTAATTACAAGTTGGAAAGCTTATCTAATTTGATCTGTATATTCAGGGCCTTATATAAATATTTAAAATATATAACCTACTTATTTCATTTCTATACAATAATAAACAATAGGCCTGCATCCTAGCCCTACAAATCAATAGTAAAAAGTATGATGATAATTATTAATTAAATAATTACAACATCTGATGAATATCAACCCTAATTAGTAATAATGTTAATGAAGTTATTATGAAATGCAGTGGTAACAATAAATTTTTATAAATTCGAATAAAATTGAAAACTGAATTAAGAAGTTTAACTTTAAAATTTAAAGAGGCTAAATTAATTATTAAAGTTTAAGTCAGTTTAAGACTTTAAGAGTTTATTTAATTTTAATTTTATATATAAATTTATAAGTTACCAAATCTAGAACATGAACAAATTGCAGTGGTTGAATTCTAATAACATCACTCATGATTGCAATTAAATTAATGAACAGAATGATAACGATAGATCTATATCTGCAGGGATTGTTCTATAAATCAAATCAAATTTAGCTGCATTTTGGTTTAACTCTTCAATTAGATATTGAATGTGGAAGGGTGTATGTCTCGAATCTGTATCTAAATCTTGTTGCTTCTTGACATCCGTGTTTCTAAAATTAGTAACTTATTCATGGTTTGTTTCGTAAAATATTGACAACAAAATAAAGTTTTCTGTTGCTTAATTCAAGGGAGGTTACTAGCGTAAAATTAGGCTAACATGAAAGATCGAAAAAGTTAATAGTTCACTATTCACCATGGCTTAATACAACTTGTTCTATTGCCATTTTCGTCTAATTTATTATTTAATACAGCAGCTCTTCATTAGCTAAATAGCTCGTTTGTAAAAAAAAAAAACATTCTGTTATTGGTATATTGATGTTTAGCTTCATTTTAAAAAGGTTGTTTAATTTGTCGAAAACTAGAAGTAGAAAAAGGCCGGCTAATTTCATCGATAAAAAAAACATCATAGGCGTAGAAATTCTAAAAAATTCATCGGCATTGACCCGAATATTTGAAATTAACAAACATTTCATAACAAATAGCACAAAGGCAAGGTTTAAATTGCATAAACCTCTATCATCTGAAGTTTTGACGTGTCATTTACGTCAACGAAAACTTCCGCATTGGACTTCATTCTGTGTTTACTATCATGAAGTTGTAAATGATCAGTTTGGAAAATCACATTTCAACTGGCAGGTAACTTATAATTCCACTGTACTCATCATTATAGTATTAAATTAAGCTTAGGCCAACTGCATATTTTTAAAATAAAATAGTTTTATTAGACCTAGATCTATCAGTATTTTAAGTTTCAGCCGAAAATAGTTGGTCAAGGTATTTTAAATTGAAGCTGAAATTTTGATCTGGTGTGCTGAAACAATTAATAGATCTACTTAAATTTACTTGACTTACTAGTTCTAGTAGTTTTACTTCCATTGTCAAAATCATCACTGACATCTGCATCACATTTATATTTTTGCTTAATTCACTGTGTTTTAACATTTTTCCATTCTTAAAGAGACTTCTTTCTATTGTTGTAGATTTTTGTTTTAAGAACACAGTTACTGAGTTACTAACTTTTAAATGCATAAACTCATAAACATAATAAGGGACAACCGCACTATCCCTTCATATGTCAAGGTTACTGAAACACATGGATTCTGCTTTACCTAACCCATGGACCATTAGGTTTGAAAGCCTAAAAAGTAAAGTTCTTTTTTTAACACGATGTTCCAAGGGCCATGGGAAATAAAGTTTGTGACCTCAACATATGAAGGGGCAGTGTGTTCAGCACTATGCTCAGCCACCATTACTATCCCTAAGATGAGTCAAGATACCTATCAGAGCTGGTTGGACTTAGGGACATTCTAAGAACTGAACTTGAACCCTGATTAAAACTCTATTGAAAGGCTACCTTTTTTATAAACATATTAGACTGAGATGACTTTTAATTGATACAGCCTGAATTTTTAACTGACAATTGAAGATTGTAGGTCATAGCTAGTAATTGGGAGATTTTCCTTTTTTTCATGAGATGGTTAGGTTGTACTTGCTCTAAAAGTTCTTATTTAATAGCATTTTCAATGTTGAAATCTGTTGCTTATTTTTAAAGGTTGATGGCAAAAATTATCACATCCTTAGAACTGGCTGCTTCCCATTTATCAAATATCACTGTTCAAGTCGTGACTACGCAGATCTTGATGCTGAAAATGCCTTCTACACCTTTCTCAAGGTGTTAAATCTGGGTAAAATATCTTATGTGTGTATTTGCCATCCATATGCTACTATGTTTCTATAGACAAAATACACTGTAATCTTAAACTAAACCTCCCCCAAATCCTATTTTTAATTTGGAAAACTGAACAAAGTTTTGGGGGTACCAATCAAGAAATGACAACCCCCCATCCCCTCCCACCCCATCATCCTGAAATTACATGTCAACTTAACCTCTAAACCCACCCTCTAACCAATAGTTTATTCAAGTTGAAATCATTTAAAGAAAGTTTCTATATTAAATGATATTCTTGAATAGAAGAATTTTTGGAAGTTTGAATATGCTGATGTCGATAATAGACTCTTCCAAAAATAGGTTGTTAGTAGTATTGTAATCTCAAATAGTTTTAATGGTTAGAAATTAGGGTTGGGTTTGGACTAGGATTGGGTTTTAGCATTAGGGATAAGGTTAGCATTGATATTACCAAGTCATATGTGTATTTTAGTTAACTACCAGTAACCTAACACCCCTTATTTAAGATTCTCTTATCGGAAACTGGTATAAAAAATCCCCCGAGTTTTTGTATGTAGTGTTGATAATCTAAGATTGCTAATTAAACAAGCACATTTTATTCCATCTTTAAGGAATTCCTACTCTTGCCTATGGCATAGGCTCTTGGTGTTTGGTCAAGTATTCTGAGGATGTTGTGATGCCAAGTGGTAAAACAGTTAAAGTTTATTTCCTGAACAAAGAAAGGCCTGATGCAATGTATTAATTGTGTTGTAACTTGATTTCTACACTGACTGGCTCTGAAAAATTAAAAAACTGATCGTTTTGTAATGATATTGGTTATTTTATGAGAAATTTAATTCTAATTTTAAAACCTTGACACACATGATTTTTTAATTTATTTACAATTCAAATAATTTCCAATAAAATGTATTTCCACTTTTAAATTTTTTTATCATGGTTCCTCAGACTTATGAACTCAGCTTTGGGTTGAGTATAGTTGTTGTTTTTATTTGCCTTATTTTCATAGTCCTTGTTCTCAACATATGTGTGAACATCATAAAATGCATGTATAGGTTGCTGATTAAGCTATTCTTCAATGACAGAAGTGTAAGTGCTGATGCTTCTAGTCTAGATGAGACAGGTCCATTATCTAGCTCACAAGATGAGGTGGCCTCCAACACACAAACTCAGAAACAAAAAACTGTAAAAAGTAAAGACTCACCTTCAAGAAAAGAAGATGTTGCTGCATCCAGACAAGAAACATCACATTCATCAACAGATGCCATAAAGAGAAAGGGGAAGTCAAAGAAGAAAAACTAATTTACCTGATTCTAGGAATAAAAGATGCTTAGATGTAAACTTGATATACAAATACCATGTGGTAAAATCGTAAACAATTTTTTAAATTATCTGTTTAACTTTAGTTGATGCCTACAGTAGTTGTCTTATAGAGGAAAATATATTTCAATCTGTGCTCACTGAATACCTTTGTAAATGTAGACTCTTCATTGCGTTGTCTTTAACTGACTTATTTATGTAGAACTAGAACTCATAAATGTATTTTTATAATAAAAATAAAATTATTTTTAAAATTTATTTTATTTTCCTTATTTTTCTGTGTGAAGTTCAAGTAAATATTCTGACACTGGATTGTAAAGTTCACACCATTTGTATATAGGGCCAACACACTTATTTCAAGTGTTAGTTGTTTTGTTTTTTTTTTTTGCTGTGCTGCTGATCATGTGATGGCTAAAATTTAAAAAAAAACCTAAGTTCCCTGTCCCTAGGACAATACTACTTTGATAAATACCTGAGTTGGTTTGAGTATGGAGAGCAATTTTTTTTACAGGGGCGGCTTGGTTGAATGGTAGAGCTTTTGACTGCTAACCTGAAAGTCTCGGGTTTAAGTACATTTAACTCACAATGGGGAAACCAAGTGTTGACTACATTATCCCTTCATATACCGAGTTCATTGAAAGAGATGAACTCTACTTCATCTGCCTTTTGTTTTTGGGCCACGAAAGGGCAAAGAGGATGTTGATGTTATTTTACAGTTTGCCGTTATTCCTGTATAGTGTAGATACAGCACGATATATACAATTTATCTCTTATCCCTCGGCCCGTTTAGGCATTGTGTAGACTGCCGCTTTTCTCACTTTACTGGTAACAGCTATCTTGTTACAACAGGGAAAGGTTTGTATCATGGGGATCGTTGATCCTGGCGAGACTGACCAGGACATAGTGTTGACGGGTTGGGAAGTAAAGATCTCGACTATTTCTCACTAAATACGCTAAACTGTGGTATCAGACATTACTATCAAACAACTGCTGCCTTGTCGTTTGTTCTTAGATGGAGACAGGCTATGGAAGCAAATCCCAAAAGCTGAAATCGGAGTCAATGGCCTTTATGGTGCAAAACATGTTGATACTTAATTGTGTTGGGGGAAATCCCGTCCAACTTTACAATAGAGAACAAAGAAGATTTTCCAATTTTTTAAAGACAGAACAACCACCCAAGTAGTTTTTAGGTGAGGTAAGACATCTGTTATTTTGTGGGGGAAGGCTCTAACACCTCCCCTCTTCTCCTATCTAATTTTCAAGCTCTAGAGTCTATACTATGCTTACTTCTGATTTAATTTTAAAGTAAATGCGTTGATACAAACTCGCATTTTTCGTTTTATTTGCAAGTTCGGAGGAGTCAACATTTTTATGGGCCAACACATTCTTCAATGTATTCATATCTGTTAGTGTTACATGCTGCATGTTGATACATATCTTCATATGCTAAACGTAAGCTTTAAAATAAATGTATGAATTAATAATGAAAAGAAAATATCAAGGGAGATAACACATTTTTTCACGGACGAAGCCTGATATTAATATGCTGATGTGAAGACAGCTGGACTTGACATTTATTACACGCGGACTAAAGCCACGGTCACAGAGAGGGAATTGTTATAAATGGGGGATAGTTACAGAGGGGGAATAGTTACATTGAGCATTGTTACAGAGAGGGCATTGTCACAGAGAGGGATAGTTACAGAGAAGGCATTGTTACAGATGGGGGAATATTTACAGAGAGGACATTGTTACAGACGAGGAGTAGTTACAGAGAGGGCATTGTTACAGATGGGGGAATATTTACAGAGAGGACATTGTTACAGACGAGGAGTAGTTACAGAGAGGGCATTGTTACAGATGGAGAATAGTTAAAGAGAGAGAGAGAGAGAGCATTGTTACATAGGGGAATAGTTACAGAGAGGGCGTTGTTACAGAGGGGGGATTGTTACACATGGGCTATTAAACAGTGCCTTATTAAAGTATTCAAAAAAACAGATCAGTAGCGATACTATCACATAGATTGATGGAGAGGTTGTGTGACTGACATTTAAATTAAGTGCCCAAATCCACTAACTACTCTTTTAATTTTTCCCTAGTAAAACCTATTAAATATAAACATAATACACTAAAACATTACCTGTATCAAGATCTTCATCTTCATCAAGAAGCTTTTAACACTTCTTAAACATTGTGAATACGTTTGGTTTCTAATGAATGGCATGGTTTGGTGGCCATCTTGTACGAAATAAATCACAAACATTTGTAATGCACAGATGTTATTTGTCTAATACTACATTTGTGCTCTGTTGAAGTTGCTAAAAGAAAGATACTATAATCTTGTTTTGTGTTTTATGCAATGATTGGTATTGTTTTTGGACATTTTACCAGTGTGCTCTACAAGCTCATGATCATGACTATACGAATATACAATAATATCGAATAAAAAAAAAGTGGACATACTGTGATTGTCCTCTATACACTCGATATATATATATATATATATATATATATATATATATATATATATATATATATATATATATATATATATATGTTTCTTTGTCTGTTTAAGGACATTTTATTTCTAACTTTCGACCAGCTAGTAGGCTCCTCTATAACATGTCATTGAACACCATACTAACGCCATGGACCTCGATATTTGTGATGAAGGGCAAGAGACTACTAACTATACGGGAACACTGCCATTGCTGATTAATAATTTAGTGTACTGCAATCACGTAATGAAAACATTACATTTGCATGAGCTCACTGGTTTCAGAAATCCTTTTTTCACTGTTGCTACTCACTCTCGCTTTCTAAATCTCTGTCATTTCAATATATTTTTTTTCTCCCCAAGTTTCACTTTAGACTGCCACCTCTCTCAGCCATGTGTGTAAGTTCTAAAAATAGTCGGGGTGAGCGCTAAAGTTTTTGCTGTGCAGACCATGCACGTAGGGTACGACAGTAGAGCTTTTGGAAATTTTTGAGAAAATCAGAAACAAGTCTGCAACCTCGCAAATTCACCAGAACTATAAATTAGGTTTTTTAATTATATTCTGTTTTGTATAATGATTCTTTTATTGACTACCGAATTATAGGTACTTTTGTAATTATTGCTTGTGTAAGTTCTAAATAAATAGTCGGGGTGAGCGCTCAAGGTTTTGCTGTCCAGACCATGCACGTAGAGTACGACAGTAGAGCTTTTGGAAATTTTCGAAAAAATGAGAAACATGTCTGCAACATCGCAATTTCATGTGGGATCTACGCTCAAGAAGTAATGGTGTATCCCATTTTTTCGTGCTTTTTTATTTAAATACAAGCTTTGGTTGCTCATGAAATCTCTAACAAATTTAGTGACTAATACTTTAAATTTTAGTAAAGAAAGCAAGTTTGTTTCGTTTATTGTTTAATTTTTTCAAAGGTTACTATTATAAAGGTTTTTAAAAATATTTTTGCCTTATTATGTTTATATTTAAATGTAACAAAATAACACTTTATTTAATACTAGCGTACCCGTCCCCGCGCATTGCCGCGGGAATAGAAGAAAGTCTGACAGAATATATAAAAAGGGTTTCATCAATGCGTTACCAATCCTCTATTCTTAGATGCGTGACTTTGTTTTCTAAAACTGAGTTATTTAAATGTAAACAATGCCTGCGCTTGAATCATAAATATCGGGACACGGGTTTACCAACACTACCGCATGAAAACCTTGAGTGTACGTTAATCACTCACCGAAATAATATGGTAGAACACACTTTGATGACCGCCCATGTGTCAGGGACGTAGAGGGGCGCTCTCGGGAGCCCCCCCCCCCCCCCCCCCCGATTGTACTACCGCAGAGGCACAGCGTACGGCCCCTGGCTACTTAAAACTAATATAGGCTGAGTCAACATATCTAAATGAAAATGAAAACGTTTTGCAGAAACATTCCAGACAAACTCTTCTTTTTGTACCATCATTCGATTTTAAGAAATACGCACGACTTTTCTGTTTCTTTTTCTTTAAATCTGGAGTTGCTGACTTGGGTCGCTGCCTTTTGGTAGGTTCTTCAAGAACAAGGTTGCACACAAATTGTTTTTTTCTCATATCATAACTTGGAAGACTACAATATTCTTTGCAAATGTGTCGATCTTCGTCAGATATTTCAGAGTTGTATTTGAATCTATATTTGCTGCAATCATCTGTTTTGGGATATTTAGAAGGAGCTCTCTTGCCATTTCTGGTAATGTAGCCTACAACACACCATCATTGCGTGTCTTTTGTTTGATTTACCGTTTCCATTTTCAGGTTCTCTTTTTCTTTTTCTCATAATTATTTCGTTCTTGGTATCTGCAACATTACCATGCCCATCGCGCAGGTTGGACTAACTGAGGCTAGCAGCTGTTTCAATCTGCTTAATTACTGTTTTCTCTGCTATGGAGATATTAGTATTACTGGGTCCAGTTAACAAAGAAAATATATTCGTATATATACATATACATAATATATATACATATACACATACATACATAGTATATACACATACATAATATATATAACTACATACATATACATACATACATACACATACATGCATACATACATACATACATACATACATACATACATGCATACATACATATATATATATATATAAATGCATATATATATATATATATATATATATATATATATATATATATATATATATACATATATATATACATATATATATACATATATACATATATATATATACATATATATACATATATATATATATATATATATATATATATATATATATATATATATATATATATATATATATATATATATATATAATCATTGATTGTAATTATTTATCAAATACTCAAAATGCTCAATTTAAAAAAAAAAACAATAATGAATAATTAGGTTCAAGTGTTTAAATAACGCCATCTGTTAGAAAAAAATTGACATTAAACATTTAACAAGGCTATAGTAAAACCCTCTTCCATGTACAGCTTAATCGCACTTCACCATTCACATCACAGGTTTAACGCCCTTTATATCTGTCACTCTCTGTGTAATGGAGATCACTTTAACATCGCTGACATATTCTTTGTTCACATCCCGCATGCATTTTTATACTTTTATATACATACACACGCACACACATATATATATATATATATATATATATATATATATATATATATATATATATATATATATATATATATGTATATATATATATATATATATATATATATATATAGATGGGCATATAAATGTATGCATATATAATTTTATGTATATATAATTTATTTGTATAACGATTTTAAAGCATAATTCTTGTTTATAAGACATTGAAAATTTTGAAAATGTGTTGGTTCTAGCCCTTACCCTCTCCCCCGCCCCACCCCCAAACGCTAACACCATCTGCTCATACCACGTTTTAAAAAGTTATTATCTACTTATATCAATTATTCATACCGACCGCATTCATTATGAAAAAAATTAACATGTATAAAACGACGATAAAAACAGAAGTTGAACAGAGTTATCGGCGCAGTATGTAAAGCTCGCGATGGTGGATTAACAACGCAAAATCCCACTCAGTTAAAACACGTGGTTTCCAGTTTGTTTCGTCGTTTTCTTATATAATTTTTTATTTGTTTTACTCGGATATTAGACCACAGCAGAATGTTTTTATTTTGTTGTAGGCATATTTGAACAAGGGATTTCTATTTCGGTGTGTTTGGTATAGGCCCACGACGAAGTAAATTTTCTAAATGTTGTTGAATTGGATGTTGTGGTGTTAACATTCTGGTGTCCCACTACATACATACTGGATATTTCTAAATCTAAACGGTTGAGTTTTACAGTATTTCTAATTTAGAACACGGCTGTTGAATGTTTAACTTAAAACAAATCGTTCAGATTTAAAATTTTAAAAAAATAATTATTACTAGCCGTTGGTACCCGTTACACGTGAATTATAGGTCTACGAGCCGACCCGCGGCGTATCATACGCCGCTATTTAGTTGTTTTAGTTTCTACTTTTCAGTAATTCATAATTTGTGAATTCGACAGTACCAATGCTGCCACTGAAAATATTTGCTTTAAAACACTATCAGTAGGTCGTTAAGGACGATAACCACCCCCCCCCCCCCGTGAAAGCAGCCTTCTCTTAGTTACCTCCCCTAAGTTTAAAATAGTTTCAAACTAAATTATATGCCCTAATAGCCGTCACTAAACCCGGCTCTACGACTGTAAACATTTAGCGTGAACCACAGCTCACCAGACTTCCTAGACAGGAAGAGAGGGGACTGAAGGGCCGCTTACAGCTTGTTTTCTAACGTCTCCAAGAAAAGAATTATATATACACATAGAATTTTTCTTGAGTGGATTTTACCAGCCAGCCGTCACGTTTGTGTACAACAGCTTGACTGTCGACACACTACACCTTTCACTGTGAATATCAGTACATTTTGACTTAAGATCCATGATAAAATAATGTTTATATTTATTTTCTCTTTCTCCTAGTGTCACCTTCCTGTACTTTAAAAAACAAAACTAAGCGCTATTTAAACTCTCTAGAGTTTAAAAACAAGTTTAATTTTCTATATAGGTATATGCTAAATTTTAAACTAGACAACTCTTGCTGCATATAAAAAGTGTCAAAGCTCTAGACTTGGTGTCTGTAAGAATGGTGAGTGCAGGTAGCAACAACCGGAAGCAGTGGCACTACGCCATCTTGAGCTCCGCCCTGTTTGGCTCCGAGGTGACCGTGACCTATGAACTCATCTACATGGTGCTCTGGGAGAAGCTGCTGGGGGTGCCGCTCCAATTCGTCTCCCTGGCTGGCGTTATATCCGCCCTGCTGGGCATCCTGCTCATCCCGCTCATGGGGCGGTTCGGTGACTCGGGAAACCGCTTCAGCAGGAAAGGTTGTCTGGTGGTTTTTAGTGGATCTATGCAAGCGTTAGGCGCTGTGGTTTTTATTGTTGGATGCAGCCTTAAGGTGTATCAGGATTCTGGGAAATGTGACGTCACGGGTTGTTCCGGTAACGCTTGTTTTGTCGGAACTACTAATGGCACTACAAATGACACTTCAACGGTCACAGGTACTTTTATTTTTTAATATTGCCCAAGTATTTTCAACATATTTCCTCTCTTCCAAATTTCCTTCTTTCCTTATTGTTTTTGACTCACGGAAGAGCCTAGATCATGAGGTCACATCGTCAACTTTTATTTTTATTTTTTTATGTTACTATTTTAAAGTTCCAGACTTGCTGGGATGGGGAGGGGGTCGTTATTTCTAAAGCTTGGTGTTCGGCATGAAAGTTTAACGAAGTATGCCGTCTGGTCCTGTGTAGTTTTTTTTTTTTTTTTTTTAGTTTTTTAGCACTTTGGTGCAGTTTTGATTGCAGGTCTGAGTTGTCGATTTATATTTATGTTTAGTGTAGTCTAAAAAACGATTCTCCCAAAATTTCACTCACTGTAGCAAGTAATATGCTCACCTTATTATTATTTGTTTTGCCAAATACCATGACCCTTTCTCCAAGTGTTTCTTTCTTATTTTATTCTCCCGTGCCCCACCCCCTACCCCCGAAGAAATGCCCGAAATAAACACTGCTTTCCCCCAACCAGAATTATACGCATGTCCTTAAGCCTATTCATATCTCTCTTATAAACATGCTCTTCCAATTTTATACAGTCGTTTTGATTCTCTGCTTGCTCAGAGGTCACTTGATATATAATTAGTTGGTAATTGCTTTATGTTGATAATCTAATTTTTATTTTCAGAGGAAAGTGTGTCGTCTGTCTCATCAACATGGACGGCCACTTTGGCGGTCTTGACGTTTGTTTTGGTAGATATAGGATTCGATACCGGCTCGTCAAATATACGCGCTTTTATGTTGGAGTCAGTGCAGGAGTCACAACACACCAAGGTTCTGTCTGTAAGTAGGTGTGTAGTCTAGATGTGTCGTTTTGGTGTGTAGTAGAGGTGTGTATTCTAGATGGGTAGTCAAGATGTGTAGTTTAGGTGTGTAGTCTAGATGTGTAGTCTAGATGTGTAGTCTAGATGTGTAGTCTGATGTGTAGTCTAGATGTTTAGATGTGTAGTTTAGATGAGTAGTCAAGATAGATGAGCGCATTACTTTTGTGACGTTGAGTGACGAAGGAGGTGTATAAACCGTGAGTGGAACGTTAAACATAGACGGTCCATTTCGCTAACAATGCTAATATCTTCTCATCCCCAGCTGGGTGTTATGATGGCTGCACTTGGAGGATGCGTCTTCTCTCTGATGGGACTAATCGACTACTCTAACCTGTTTCCCGCGAGTATCGATCCAAGTTTAAGCACTGCAATAGCGCTTAGTATCTTCCTGGTGGTATCGGTACTGGTCACAGTATCGATTACATTAATCAGCGGGCGTTTTTTCATTAAACGATTGGAATACTTTTCTAATAACTCGAAGAATCAGGAAGATGGCGAGACAGTGGAATGCAATACAGCGAAATCGTCCAAAGTGCTAAGCGCTGTTTGCTCGTCTGAATTCGCGCCATCTATAAACAATGGTATCCATAGCAACCTAACTGAACGTGACAAATTAAACAAATATTCTAAGAGATCTCAAAATCTTATAAAAGAGCACCCGACTCAGGACAAAGTGTTTATTTTGAAGAGGAAACTAGCCCGGACGAAAGAATGTATTAAATCTGTTCGAGGCTCGCAAAGTTTCGTCTGTTTGTTGTTAGCGTGTCTTCTGAATTTCTTCGCGTCTTCCTGCTGCATATGTTTCGAGATCTACGGCGGGAATTTTTTAACTGCTGGGGTGTATCATGGCGACGGTAGCGCAGCGCGCGGCTCGGAGCCCAAACTACGATTTGAGAAAGGGGTCAAGGACATTGCCATCGCAACGTTCCTATTTCAAGCCACGTATTTTCTCTACAGTGTATTACATCAAAAAATATCTGACAAAATTGGTAGGTTGTCGTGTCTATATATGTATGGATATTTATGGTGTGAAGTGTTTTGTTTACGTCCTATGCTTTGGAGTAACCATAAATGACGTCACGCTTTTTTGATGTTTTTTACCTCTCCCCTTCTCTCCATCACACATCGTCACAAAAAGCCAGGACCCCCCCCCCCCCCCCTTCCCAAAAAAAAAAAATTGCAGTTGAATTTTTCTTAAAACATCGATATTTTTCCAAAATCTGATCTGCACTGTGTCAACATAGAGTATTTTAATAAGTTCCGATTAAAATGTATTTAAAACTGTTTCCTTAAACGCGAAATAACGGCTAAAACTCAAAAAAAATTTTGGGAGTGGGCGGACACTGTTGAAAATATATATTTTCTTTATAAATTGCATTTCGTTTCGGGGGGGGGGGGCGGTAGACTAGAATAGATAAAAAAAAGTGTTTAGCTTAAGTTGGTTGTGTCATGTTGTGTGTGTAGCACTTCCTCATTGGGTATGTCAGTGGCGTCACCATTGAGGGTTAGTGTGTAGTGGCTGACCCTGAGAGACAACACAACACAGGTAGAGTGATGAGCTCAATGCTAGGCCCAGCTTTACTTAACACACACCAGTGCTGTGTTGAATTAGCTCGAGCGGGACCTCAGGGTGCTGATAACACAGCGACACAACAAAAATTATACTTTGAAAGAGCATGTACAAGTACAAGATGTTGACTTACATGCTTATAATATAGCTACTTACACCAGAGGTGTAGCGAAGGGGGGCGGGGGTGCCGACTGCACTGGGTGACACCATTTAAGGGGGTGACACCAAGGCAAAAAATAGCAAAATATATAGAGAAAAATTTGAGGGAGGGTGGGTGCAAATCGAAAGTTTGAGGGGGGTGCAAATGGAAAGTTTGACAGTTTGTCCCCGGAAGGGTCGCTACGCCTCGGAGGGGGGGGGGGTGACACTATTAAGTGCCACACCGGGTGACACCCGACCTCGCTACGCCACTTACTTACACTAGGAGTGAGTTTGATGTGGTATAGGATGTTATAGCATACGGAAATGTTCCCACAATAGGGGAAGAAAAACAGGTTACACACTTGCCTAAACAAGACACTAAAATATTTACTAAATTTCAAATAGAACCGTGAAACCTATACACATCAGGCCCACAATGACCATTACTACAATGTATTATACATGACTATATAGTTATGTAAATTAAAAAGATTATCCTGCCACTACAAGTCTACAATACAATGGAGATAATACGAAGTAACTAGGACTGAAGTAATGCATAAATCAATAATAGAAGCATTAAAATACAACTAATGACAGGCACAATTATACTGACGTTACCATCATAAAATTGTAGGTCCAGTATATATTATATCCACTTACAACATATATATATATATATATATATATATATATATATATATATATAAACTCCATTGGTTATCAATTGAGTATGCTAACGTTCGTTAGCAATTTATATATTTTTTTACCAACCGACCGCCCGTATAGAGTAAACCTATTTGTAAAACCCTATAAACCAAATATGATAAAATTCACATTAACAGTAATTCGGCCTATACGGGATGCTGGTATCCATACAAGTGTACAAGTGTACCCTGACCCTCAGAGAATCCGCCACTCAATCAACCCCGGGTCCAAGGATGTAACATGACATTCCGATTACCTCTCGTTCACACAAAACCTCTTTTACAAAATAAAAACTAAGATTACAGAAACAAAAGAATTGCGGACTCTCAAAGATTTTAAACACACCTATGGCCCATGGGTAATTATCTCCACTAGGTCTAAACTTTCTTCTTCTTCATCCTTTTTAATTCTAGTGTTGGAAGAGATTCCCTCCAACACAATTAAGTTTTACGTGTCAATGTTATGTACCATTTAGGTCGTTGACTCCGATTTCAGCCTGCTTTTCTTTTTGGATTTGTTTCCATAGCCTTTCTTCGACCAAGAACAAACTACAAGGCAGCTGTTGTTTAATTTTGCAGTTGTCTCTCCTAGATGAGCGGATGTCCTTAGATCTTAACAAAACGTGTGTATCCATCTCCGCTAGTTATGTCCCTTATGTATCTATCTCTTCTAGTTATGTCCCTTATGTATCTATCTCTTCTAGTTATGTTCCTTGTGTATCTATCTCCTCTAGTTATGTCCCTTGTGTATCAATCTCCGCTAGTTATGTCACTTGATCTAAACAAAACATATGTATATATCTCCGCTAGTTATGTCCCTTGTGTATCTATCACCTCCAGTTATTTCCCTGTGTATATACCTCCACTAGATCTAAACAAAACATGTGTATCTATCTCCGCTAGTTATATATATACCTCCACTAGATCTAAACAAAACATGTGTATCTATCTCCTCTAGTTATGTCACTTGTGTATCTATCTCCGCTAGTTATGTCCCTTGTGTATCTATCTCCTCTAGTTATGACCCTTGTGTTATATACCTCTACTAGATCTAAACAAAACATGTGTATCTATCTCCACTAAATCTAAACAAAACATATGTATCTATCTCCACTAAATCTAAACAAAACATGTGTATCTATTTTCGCTAGGTCTGATCAACGAGTTCCTTATCTCCTCATTGCTGATCATGGTTGCCCTAGCAACGCTTGTTGCCACCAAGCTCGCCCCCCTCTACTTTGTGACGGCCATTTTGAATGGAGTATACAGATCACTTCTGTTTTCGACACCTTACGTGTTGGCCGCCCGGACTTTGGCCATGGGCCACGAACCTCAGGTATGTACTACCTTACTTGTCGGCCACCTAGACTTTGGCCACATGTAAGTGAAGTAGACTGTAATTGATAGTTTTTTAACTTGCGCAGATTAATGTCGTACCTTTCTCTTTTTCACAGGATTATCTAAAGCAGGCTGCTGAGCCTGACTACAAGAGTATCCGTCAACAGGACAGGATATCCAATAGCAACAAGACAACAGACAGCCATACAACAGCAGACAGACACCAGACAACAGGCAGGGACCAGACAGCAGACGACACAAAAACAGACTTCCCACACCCGACAGATCACCAGTCAAACAACTCCAACGGCCATCTTGTCCTACACGACAATATCCCGACAGGCGGCAGCACTGAGGCGTCCCCTGACAGGTCCTATGGCGCCACGATGTCCTGGGTCACCGCGACCCAGCCGTTGTCCTACCTGGTGTTGTCGACCTTCATGGGCCCCCTGTTGGAGGCCAGTGGGGACCCTGCCAGTCCACTGTACTACGCTCTGGTCACGGCAGGGATCGGTGCCCTTGTATTGGTGGTCAACTTGTGGGTCTATCGCAAGTATAAGATTACAGGCTTGGCATAGTAGGAATACAGTTTTTTCTCTTTGTTGGACGTGATACGTTTGAAGAAGAAATAAATACATACATATATATATATATATATATATATATATATATATATATATATATATATATATATATATATATATATATATATACACATAACACACATAACACATAATTAGATAACTATGTGTGTGTTAGTGAGTGTGTGTTTGTGTATGTTTAAGTATGCTTAAGTATCATATTTTATATGTTTGTGTTTTTATGTCTGTGCTGTCTAATCAAAACCAGATCTTAATAGACTTGACATATTTTCAACCAGACACCTATAAATGCCCACCCATCATACGGTGTAGACCTAACTAATGTTCACTTACCACACGGTGTAGACCTATAAAGGCACACCCATCATACGGTATAGACCTAACTAATGCCATATTTAACTCATACTTAAATTTCAAGGGAGGTAATCGACAGTAAGCCCAGTTGAACGAAAATAAAAACACGGTTATCGCACTTATACTGTCACTTGCCACGTTTGCCGATTCCGATTATTTTTACAACATGAAAAGAAAAACTTGTTTAATACGATTGATCGCTGTAATGTTTCCCATTCATTCTGCCTGTGTCATAAGTCAAAACAGCTTAAGTCGATCTGTTCGTTCTTTTTTGTAAGCTGTTCGCTAGATCTATCTATCTATATCTATATATATAAAAAGCAATGTATGTGTGTGTGTGTGTCTGTGTGTGTGTCTTTTATGCATTACCACACCTCTCATCACATCGCCGTGTAACTTCGGGAAGTTGTTAAGAATATTCCTGGGGAGGTTTCTGCGAAAAAAAAAATTTAAAATTCGCAGGGGTGGCGCCCCGGCAGGGCGCGATTTGTTTTTTCTCTACATACGGTATATCAAAATAAAAGTCTATTTTGATTTCACACTCTTCATCCGATAGGCATGAAACTTTGGGGAGTTCGTTATAACCCTCTATGGTAGGGTTATGTAAAAAAAATAATTTTTAATTTCGCAAGGGCGGCGCCACGGGAGGGTCCGATTTTTCTCTATATACGGTATATAAAAATAATAAAAGTGAGTTGCAGTGACACCGTTCATCCGATAGGCATGAAACTTTGGGGGTGTTGATTAGGACACTCCGGGGAAGGGTTCTGTAAAAAAAATCCTATTTAATTTTGCAAGGGCGGCGCCACGGGAGGGTGCGATTTTTCTCTATATACGGTATATAAAAATAAAAGTCAATTTTGGTGTGACACCGTTATCCGATAGCCATGAGATTTTGGGGAGATGATTAGATCACTTAATAGTAGGGTTCTGCAAAAAAAAAATTGTTTAATATTGCAAGGGCGGCGCCCTCCGGGGGGTGGGTGGAGCGATTTTTTTTCTCTATTCACGGTATATAAAAAAATAAAAATCGGATGCGGTTCATCCGAGTGCCATGAAACTTTAGGGAGTAGATGAGAATACTCCCGAGAATATTTCTAAACTAAAGTTTCTTATGGGCGGCGCCATATAGGGTACAACTTTCGTCAATACACGGTTGGGCGCCCAGAGTTTTAGAGCGACTATGTTGGCACTTGGCATCCGTTAATCGAGCGTCCTGCATAGCGAGTAAGGGGTACTACTATATTCAGCGGTAAAACTACAACAGGCTTCTAAAAATAACTTTGTAACGAGAGGAAATCCTTATGTACAGTTTCTTCACTTTGCCAAAGAGGAAAAAATAACTTTTTGAATATGAGGAGCCTACTGTAGAGTTTCGTCACTTTGCGAATGATGCAATAAGCATCTATTATTAGACAATCCAGTCAGAAATTGAGATCGAGCATCTAATAATAGACCATTAGTAGCGCTAGCACATTGCATCAGTCACACTGATGTTTAAAACACGTCAAATACTTTTTTTACGTTTTAAAGAAAAAAAATCCTGTTCATTTGTGTCACTTTAGAGAATGACGAAATATGCATCATTATTAACAGGATGCTATTTGGCACGATGGTGCCTGTTAGTTTTAAGGAGCCAGGGGTCGTACGTCGCGCCTATGCGGTAGTGTAATCGGTGGGTGGGGGCCCTGACAGCGCCCCTCTACGTCTCTGACACAGAGGCGGTCACCGAAGTGTGTTCTACCATATTATTTCGGTGAGTGATTAATGTACACTCAATGTTTTCATGCGGTAGTGTAGGTAAACCCGTGTCCTGCTATTGATGATCCAAGAACAGGCATTGTTTACATTTAAATAACTCATTTTTAGAAAAGAAGGTCACGCGTCTAAGAACATATAATTATAATTGATAACGCGTTGGTGAAATCCTAAGATATTTCGTCAAACTTTCTTCTATCCCCGCGGCAACGCGCGGGGGTCGGGTACGCTAGTATTAAATAAAACCTATAAAAGGATTTTTATTGAGAAATTACTGCTTAGAACTACTATTTAGAACTACTATATAGAACTATTATTTAGAACTATTATTTAGAACTACTATTTAGAACTCTATTATTTAGAACTACTGTTTAGAACTATTTTTTAGAACTACTACTTAGAACTGCTCTGCTATTTAGAACTGCAAGTTAGAACTAGGCCTACTTAATAGAACTACTTTTTAGAACTACTGTTTAGAATTACCATTTCGAACTACTATAGCTAATATCGCTACTTAATCAGACAAATATTTTTTTAAAATATGTGTAGATCAATCTTCACACATATCTCAAACACAACCTCTGTCAACACGGAAGCTTGGGCTGATTTACATTTGAGGGGGAAAAAGTTATTTCAAGTGGAAGTTTCGGTCGATATCGTTCACGCCCGTTTAAACAAGTGCTCGATACTAAACTCAACTATGCTAGAGTATCGATATTTACATTGAACGAGAAGTGTTCAGTAGTCGTAATGACTACTGTTTTATACTCAATTTATATGTTCGCGGGTTGACGAAAGTAAAACTAAAGGGAAGTTGCTCTTGAAGTACAGCATCATATCACTTAACCGTTTGTATATGGAAAATAGGAGCTACTTTGATCGTTTGTACATGGTATATAGGGCCTACTTTGATTATCTCCACATGGTATATAGGGTCTAATTTGATCGTTTGTACATGGTATATAGGGCCTACTTTGATTATCTCCACATGGTATATAGGGTCTAATTTGATCGTTTGTACATGGTATATAGGGTCTACTTTGATCGTTTGTACATGGTATATAGGGTATATTTTGATCGTTTGTACATGGTATAAGAGGCCTATTTTGATTATTTGTACGACTAAACAGTGTTTCGTGTTTTTTTAGCTTTAAGTTTATTATTTGTATTAATCTCTAATTTTTTAAAATTGTTTAGTGCATTTTAATTCTAAAAAAATTAGGAATCCTTATGTTATGGTGGTAATGTCTGCCCATCTGTGTGTCCGTCCGTCTATCTGTACGTCCATATGTCCGTCCATCTGTCCGTCCATCTGTCCGTCCATCTGTGTGTCCGTCCATTCGTCGTCAGTCCATCAGTCTGTCTATCCGTCTGTCCGCTTATTTGTTCGTCCGTCTGTCCGCCCATTTGTCCGTCCGTCTGTCCGCCCATTTGTCCGTCCGTCTGTCCGCCCATTTGTCCGTCCGTCTGTCCGCCCATCGTTAATGTTAAACTATAACCAAAGTAAACAGCTCAGAGCGATGTCTAACCATCAAGATTTCCTCATTGTTGACATCTTTGTTAGATACATGTCGTCATCAACTCATCAAGACCAACTTGAACATTTTAAAAAGTTGGACTGGACACGTGTTTACAATCTATCCACGGATCAAATAATCGGTTAAATCAAAACAGGCTTAAGCTAAGTCAATGGATCCACCGGTAATTGGTAATTAAACAATTACGTGTTCAGAGGTTCATGAATCTAAGATAATATCGATAGAGTGGGACTAGCTCGTGGTCTACACAAGAATTAAATGGGAAAAAAAAAACATTTTTTTAAAAGAATTATCCCTAAAGTTGAAAGGGACCTTTTAAAAATGAATTTAATTTATAAGGGTTGTCTGGGCTTTAAAAGAAGTATTTTGTCACGTCTTTCAAAGTAACATGAAACCACAGAAACGTTAATTATAACGGACCCTGACACATTTAGCGTAATGAAACAGTGTGCGATTAATCCAACTAATTTTCGGTACTCATTTAGGCTGGGTGGACTCAAACATTCCCTATAGACTCAAGCTTGTCCTATGCCGAGTTAAGCGTTTTAACAATCCAGTGTCCTGCTACTCTCTGCCCCCTGTATTTCTAAAATAGTTGTTTAAAATACATCATAATAGTTGGTTATATCAATAGTGCGTATTCCGTCCCACAGCGCCTTGCTTATTTCATCTACCGTAATTCTAAAATGTCTGAGGAAAAACAAACGAAATGTAAAGCCTTACCCTAACCTTAATTAAGATATAAAACAAAAATGGCTGTGACGTAGTTTATGGACGACACAATCACTACTTTTTTTACATTTTTAATTTAAAAAAAAGTAGTGTAAAAAAATGAAAGCAATTTTAATAAATTACTCCAAAACTTGATATAGAATGTTACATGGTTTGTTTAAAGTTTAAAGAATACCCCACATTAAATTTATGTGAATTTTACCGACGAGAGCTGGATCACAACGTCCTAATTTATGAGCAACATAAACAAAGGAATGTTTGAATTTTAACGGACCCCCACCCAGGCGTAAAGATACATTGTATAATGGCCGGAGACTGACATTTTTACTGCCTTCTCTTTATTGCAATTGAACTGGTAATCAAAATAATGTGTTTACATTGAATCCTCTATCTATTCTTATCTACAATCACACGAAATCGTGCCCCCTACAGGTTTTTTAAGCGGCTAGACAAGTAATTTTTTGACAAAAGGCGTGGGTAAACTTGAAAAGTTAGCAGAAATGTGCAGTATTACTGTGTTTGATAATCTAAATAATGTATTAAATCAGTGTACACAAACTTTAGATGTATTACAATAATGAAAAAAAAAGATTCAGTTAACGTTAAATAATGAGTGTTATTGAGTGTTAGTTACTTACAATTACTCGGCGTGGTCGAGTCGGTAAAGCTCATAGTTGCTAAACCGAAAAGTCTTTAGTTCGAACTTCGAACCCTCGGGCAGATGAGGCTCGTTAGCTGGGGACAGCCACTTTTCTAGGAGAGACAACTCCAAAATAAAACATCTGCTGCCTTGTAGTTTGTTCTTGGTTGGACAAAGGCTATGGAAGCAAATCCAAAAAGAAAAGCAGGCTGAAATCGGAGTCAATGGCCTCAATAGCGCACAACCAGTTGATACGTATACTTAATTGTGATGGAGGCGTGATCGAGTATGCAAAAAGCTCATGGTTGATCAATTCGAAAAAAGTCTCTTGTTCAAACCCTCTGGCAAATAAGGCTCGATCCCTTCCAACACTAAAAATTAAGAACGAAGAAGAAGAAGAAATTCAAAATGACAAAGGTGTACAACCTACGACTATTTTCTCAAAAGTAGTTTACAGAAAATACAATGATGGTCAAAAAAAAATAATAGATGTACTTCATTGTTTAGTTACAAAAAAAACACACTGAGGTCATTGACAATTGTCTAGTCTTCTTACGGTTCATGATTCTAATTTGGCTCTAATGTAAACTATTAGCTTGATTAAACAGCTGATTTATAGATTAGCGAAAGTGCAAAATAATCACTCTGTACGACGCTTTTTACCCCCCCCCCCCTTTCCCCTTCGCCACACACATACAAGTACCAGTGCCCCCCCCCCCCCCCCCCGCCTCACTGTACTTTTCCATTAATTGCCATCATAACATCTCAGCCTCCAAACACCCCCTCCCCCCTTTTTTTTCTCAAAATATCGTTTTTTTTTTAAACATTAATGCTTTAACATCGATTTCTGTAAAAAATATTTACCGTGATCGGTCAATATTGAATACATTAGTCCCAATCCGCGTTATAATATTTACAAAAAAAAACATTTCTTTTAAAACCGCCGAAAAATATGTGGTTTCTTACATTTAAAATATAAAATTGTATCGTAACACTTTGTGCACCCCACTCCCCTTTTGTCACACAACGTCACACATCGTCACCGAATGTAGAATCTCCCCCCCCCCCCCCACCCCATCCTAGGTGTGTGACGTCATTTATAGACGACCCCTTAAACTACCAAAATAAAAACACCACGTGACTGTTCCTACGATAAGAAACTATTGACCTACATATCACGCTGTGATCGATGGGACTGATCCTTGCCGGGCCAGGCTAACCTTATACACTGGTTGTCACGTGGTCTCAGCCCCTCCCCCCCCCCCATCATCCTCTGATCACGACCCGGGTTCATCGAGCCTGTTACTCTGGTTCTCTGTCATCGAACCCTGGTTCTGTTTCATCGAACCCTTGTTCTCTGTCATCGAACCCTGGTTATGTTTCATCGAACCCTGGTTCCCTAGTTCTCTCCATCGAACCCTGGTTCTTTTTCATCGAACCCTTGTTCTCTGTCATCGAACGCTGGTTCTCTTTCATTAAACCCTGGTTTCGTAGTTATCTGGTTAAACCGGTGAACTCTACTTCATCTACCACATGAGTCTTTTGCAGGAACGGGAAAAATATTATGAACTTATTATCTTCAACACAAATACCACCAATATACGTATTGATTTTTTTCAAATGCTACCAAGATTAATATTAGAAGATTCAAATACCACCCAGTATAAACTTATTATATTGTTCAAATACCACTAAGAATAAGATTAGGGTTTTCAAATACCACCAAGTATTAGGATTTTTTCATCCAATACCACCATGAAATTTGTGTTTTAATTATCCCTCCCAGTAATTAGCTCATTAGCTTTAAACTACGCAGTTGTAGCGCAGCTAATTATGTTAATTAGCTTAGTTGGTTCTATTATCAACTACTGTAGCACGTCCTAAACTTCTCTATCAGATAATGTCACAACGATTTAGTTGGCATGGTATTTTATTTCCGTGTTGTGTGTAAAACATTTACGGGATTTAAATGTCATTGTTGTTGGACTGATTACGTCTGTAAACGTTCTGTTGATTTGTAAAGATATTATTTCGTCGTCGTTTTATTATTAATGTGAGATTTGTGTCTTTGTCGTTTTATTATTGTAGTGAGATTTATGTCTTTGTCGTTTTATTATTTTAGTGGGATTTATGTCTTTGTTGTTTTATTATTGTTGTGAGATTTATGTATTTATCATTTTTTAATTGATGTGAGATTTGTGTCTTTGTCGTTTTATTATTGATGTGAGATTTATCTCTTTGTCGTTTTATTATTTTAGAGAGATTTATGTCTCTGTTGTTTTATTATTATAGTGAGATTTATGTCTCTGTCGTTTTATTATTGTTGTGAGATTTATGTATTTATAATTTATTTTATTGATGTGAGATTTATGTCTTTGTCGTTTTTATTATTGTCGTGAAATTAATACTGTTGTACATTAATTTTTTTCGTGATTTGTGACTTGGTAGCTCTATAGTTTTCAGTTTCATGTTTTTGAAATTTTATTGATGTGATATTGATGTTTATCTAAGCGACAATTGAATAATTGTTCGTGTTTATTTCACCGTGCGAAAGATTTCCACTGTGACGGAAAATTTTGGTTAGAGTTAATTTATTTCCTGACCTGTCTATTTTTAGATACATTTGGGTCGATCAATGATTGAGGGCTACTTTATTCGATCAAGGTTCTAGGGCTAATGGGTCGCTACTTGGGTCGATCAAGGTTCTAGGGCTAATGGGTCGCTACTTGGGTCGATCAAAGTTCTAGGGCTAATGGGTCGCTACTTGGGTCGATCAAAGTTCTAGGGCTAATGGGTCGCTACTTGGGTCGATCAAGGTTCTAGGGCTAATGGGTCGCTACTTAGGTCGATCAAGGTTCTAGGGCTAATGGGTCGCTAATTGGGTCGATCAAAGTTCTAGGGCTAATGGGTCGCTACTTGGGTCGATCAAGGTTCTAGGGCTAATTACTTTAATTCTTTTTTTCTCTGGGGGTTGTTCTTTTCATTTTACAGACTGTTTTAGTGACATGTTATTTGGTTGTTATTTTAGAAACGTGTTATGTACTCTCAACATCACCCCTCCCAGCCCATAGGCCCTACCCCCAACACTTATCTAGCTTAAAGTCACACAGCATGTTATGGACTCTCTACATCACCACTCCCACCCACAGGACCCCCCCACCCGACCCCTATCTTACTCACAGTTATACCTACATTTACCTAGCTCTACCATCAACCTACTACCCCCAACATATTACCCCCCACACACAAACACAAGCACACACACACGCACATGACACCCGTACTCTCAGATAAATCTCTACACCATCTAAGGTATCACATCTTCCATCTCTTCTCTTCACATCCTAGCGTTCATCACCATCCTCAACTCTACTAGATCATCATGTCTCCCTCCGTCATTAACCCCCACCCCACCCTCTCAATCCTCTCCCCCTCCCTGCCTTTCTCCCGTCCTCCTAGTCACGAACCTACATCTCTCTCCCACCTTTTCCCAGCACCCACCTCCCCTCACCCACCTATCTGCACACTCCCATCCTTAACCCCCCCCCCCCCACCTCCCCAGCCCTACTCACGAGGTGGTCGTGGAGTGAGCCGATGGCATCGCGTCAGATTTGAGTTGAGCGGTTTAGATTTGTGCCCAGCCACGGGCCATGCCAGACAATATCGATCGGCCAAGCTGGCAAACTTGTACACTAAGAAAGCGTGGCAAAGCGTCGCATTAGGTACAAGACGGAAGCGATTTCTTGAGTAGGGAGTTCTCTCGGATACATGGCATCCTCTCGCTCAGCAAACTACACGATACCAGGGGCAATCGTCAACAGACAATTGTAAGTAAGCATTCGAATATTTGTATCGATGTATTGAAAGAATCGATTCCGTGTCACATCCGTGTTGGCAAGCGTGTCGTGTTTGTAAACAAACCGGGACGCCAGTTGAGCGATGTTAACACTAAACTGTTTCAAAGATTTGAACGAACACACATGTACAGATAGTCCAAATCAAACAAACGATGTGTAATCTTTATCTTTTATTTAGACAAAGCGTGTCTTATTCTAATATATTTTTACTGTAATTTACTTTTATACTTTGTTTTTGTGTGTGCTTTAAACTAATCTTGCTTATTACACTGATGCTTATTGTTGCTGTTGTTGAAGTTACCTTTTCGAATATGACGGCCCTTGTGGTAATGAAGTAGAGTTCACCTGTTTCTATAACCTCGGCCTATGAAGGAATAATGTAGTCAGCATTATGCACAGTCATCTTTACTTTACCTAACGTAAGGTACACATTAGAGCTGGATGGACCCAAAAACGGCTTACGGACTTAGTTTGGGATCTGAACTCGAGATTTTTAGCAGTCGTGCGCTCTACCACTCTACCATATTGTTAGTTACTCAGCAATTTTTAGAATTGTTGAAACAATCATTTATTTTCTATAATGATTATTGTATTCCTTTTTTTTATCGTAGTCTTAATTAAGGTAAGAATATGAGTCTTTAAAGTTGATGTAAAAGTTGATGTAAAATATCAGAATTAGCCTGAGGTGGAGACATGTTGATGTTTAGAGAGTGTTAAATTGGAATTTCGATGGCGAGTAATTGTCGTAAATCTGATGACTGAGCTCAGTAAAATTGTCTTCGATGGGAGACGTAAAGACATTCGATGGGAGACGTAAAGACATTCTTCTTGTGATGTGATCACGTGGTCCGTGTAAACAAAACACGGCTTGTAGCGGGTGTTTGAAAGGCTTGAAAGAAACTCTTGTTTGAAGAAAATCTTTCGTCTGCTGTAACAGGTCGTTAAACATGCATCGTGTTAAAAATGTGAAATCGTTACTTGGGTATTAAGCTAGAGGTCGTTTGTATGTGACGTCACACACCTAGATGGGGGGAGTGGGGATTTCAACTTTAGTGACAGTGAGTTGCAGGGGGGAGGGGTGAAATGTTACGTGTCATATATTTAATATTTTTTTTACAAACTATAGTATCCAAGCTCGTTAAATTTCGTATGATTTAAAGGTTTGTGTATATAATACGATGAGGGTAGGGGGCAAATTTGAGCGGCTTTTCCCCCCTTTATTTCTCTGTACTTGATTCTGTAGAGCAGGTAGCCTTACGAATATAACCAGCCGGCTCTTGTGTTGAGAATAAAATCTTGGAACAACTGGTGCCAGATAACGCACATTTATTCGGCTCACGTCCACCACCCCAGTGACCCCACCCCCAGCCCTGGCCTTAGATAAGATGTTTACTACCGGCTACCCTTAGCAGGTCACGTCACATTGAGGCTAACTTTAAAATTACACAGTAAACAATCTCTCCGCTCTTCCTTTTAAACGTAACATTGGAGGCCTATTTCTAAATAGTCCTTTTAAACGTAACATTTGCCTATTTCTAAATAGTCCTTTTAAACGTAACATTTGCCTATTTCTAAATAGTCCTTTTAAACGTAACATTTGAGGCCTATTTCTAAATAGTCCTTTTAAACATAACATTTGCCTATTTCTAAATAGTCCTTTTAAACATAACATTTGAGGCCTATTTCTAAATAGTCCTTTTAAACGTAAAATTGGAGGCCTATTTCTAAATAGTCCTTTTAAACGTAACATTTGCCTATTTCTAAATAGTCCTTTTAAACGTAACATTTGAGGCCTATTTCTAAATAGTCCTTTTAAACGTAACATTTGCCTATTTCTAAATAGTCCTTTTAAACGTAACATTTGAGGCCTATTTTAAATAATCCTTCCACCCTATTACCTTGCAGGATTACTCCACGTTACTATCGTATACGTACGTAGTAGATGTATCATTTTCTTTCATACATAAAATACATACATGGGCTTTACCTCATACAAATTCATATACTAGCAAAAATGTCTATGTGCTAGGGCTGGTCGCCTAAAAGTTTTGAATCAGGCAGGACAGAGAACGCTGACCTCGGTATCTCTTCAAAGAAACAGATGGACTCTACTATATCTGTTTTCTCATAGACTACGAAGGCTCACCATCAAACAGATTTACTCCCCCCTCCCCCCCCCCCCCATACCGCCTTCCACATCAAGCCGATTATATTATCGGAGTTACAAACATCCCTAGAGAATACACAAAACACCAAACCCAGTATCAATCTCAAAAGCCAAATTTATAAATCTAATTACATTTTTTTCTTTTTTTTTTCAATATTATAAAGCCTGATCTTGGTGTTCATTTATTTTTACCTGTGGGTAATGAATTAATGATTTTTTTTTGTAGCATAAAAATGCAAATAATACTTTTAACATAAATAATATCCTAAATTATTATGTACTCTTTTAATAGTTCGTGCTGTTAAATTGCCATCGTTTTCTTTAAAACAAAAATTTCCATTCTTTTCGTTCTTTGCCTCAAAAGAAAAGCAGGCTGAATTCGGAATCAACGGCCTATATGGGGCACAACACGTTGATACGTAATATATAATTGTGTTGAGTAGTGGTTCTAAACCTTTTTGGAGGTACCGAACCCTACTTGTTTATATGCGCTTTCCCCCTTCTTGATAATTATATCGTCCACAGTGACAAAATCCGATCGTGGTTCATTTGAGTCGGGTGTATGTCTTGACCTCCGCTGAATCCCTGGGACTGGCTCACCAGACAACTGGGTTCAATCGAACCCAGGTTAAGAACCATTGTGTTGGAGGAAATACCGTCTACAATCGCAATGATGAACGAAGAAGAAGAATTACTTTACCACAGACCTGTATAGGTCGGCTGTAGACCCCTAGAGCCTGATCCCTCGGCTAACATTGGGTCAGCTGCCCACAGCTAACATTGGGTCAGCTGCCCACAGCTAACATTGGGTCAGCTGCCCACAGCTAACATTGGGTCAGCTGCCCACAGCTAACATTGGGTCAGCTGCCCACAGCTAACATTGGGTCAGCTGCCCGCAGCTAACATTGGGTCAGCTGCCCACAGCTAACATTGGGTCAGCTGCCCACAGCTAACATTGGGTCAGCTGCCCACAGCTAACATTGGGTCAGCTGCCCACAGCTAACATTGGGTCAGCTGCCCACAGCTAACATTGGGTCAGCTGCCCACAGCTAACATTGGGTCAGCTGCCCACAGCTAACATTGGGTCAGCTGCCCACAGCTAACATTGGGTCAGCTGCCCACAGCTAACGAGTTCAGCTGCCCACAGCTAACATTGGGTCAGCTGCCCACAGCTAACATTGGGTCAGCTGCCCACAGCTAACATTGGGTCAGCTGCCCACAGCTAACATTGGGTCAGCTGCCCGCAGCTAACATTGGGTCAGCTGCCCACAGCTAACATTGGGTCAGCTGCCCACAGCTAACATTGGGTCAGCTGCCCGCAGCTAACATTGGGTCAGCTGCCCACAGCTAACATTGGGTCAGCTGCCCGCAGCTAACATTGGGTCAGCTGCCCACAGCTAACATTGGGTCAGCTGCCCACAGCTAACATTGGGTCAGCTGCCCGCAGTTAACATTGGGTCAGCTGCCCGCAGCTAACATTGGGTCAGCTGCCCGCAGCTAACATTGGGTCAGCTGCCCGCAGCTAACATTGGGTCAGCTGCCCGCAGCTAACATTGGGTCAGCTGCCCGCAGCTAACATTGGGTCAGCTGCCCGCAGCTAACATTGGGTCAGCTGCCCGCAGCTAACATTGGGTCAGCTGCCCACAGCTAACATTGGGTCAGCTGCCCGCAGCTAACATTGGGTCAGCTGCCCGCAGCTAACATTGGGTCAGCTGCCCGCAGCTAACATTGGGTCAGCTGCCCACGACTAACATTAGGTCAGCTGCCCACAGCTAACATTGGGTCAACTGCCCACAGCTAACATTGGGTTGGCTGTAGACACTTTAGAGCCTGATCCCACGGCTAACATTGGGTTGGCTGTAGACACTTTAGAGCCTGATCCCACGGCTAACATTGGGTTGGCTGTAGACACTTTAGAGCCTGATCCCACGGCTAACATTGGGTTGGCTGTAGACACTTTAGAGCCTGATCCCACGGCTAACATTGGGTTGGCTGTAGACACTTTAGAGCCTGATCCCACGGCTAACATTGGGTTGGCTGTAGACACTTTAGAGCCTGATCCCACGGCTAACATTGGGTTGGCTGTAGACACTTTAGAGCCTGATCCCACGGCTAACATTGGGTTGGCTGTAGACACTTTAGAGCCTGATCCCACGGCTAACATTGGGTTGGCTGTAGACACTTTAGAGCCTGATCCCACGGCTAACATTGGGTTGGCTGTAGACACTTTAGAGCCTGATCCCACGGCTAACATTGGGTTGGCTGTAGACACTTTAGAGCCTGATCCCACGGCTAACATTGGGTTGGCTGTAGACACTTTAGAGCCTGATCCCACGGCTAACATTGGGTTGGCTGTAGACACTTTAGAGCCTGATCCCACGGCTAACATTGGGTTGGCTGTAGACACTTTAGAGCCTGATCCCACGGCTAACATTGGGTTGGCTGTAGACACTTTAGAGCCTGATCCCACGGCTAACATTGGGTCAGCTGCCCACAGCTAACATTGGGTCAGCTGCCCACAGCTAACATTGGGTCAGCTGCCCACAGCTAACAAGTTCAGCTGCCCACAGCTAACATTGGGTCAGCTGCCCACAGCTAACATTGGGTCAGCTGCCCACAGCTAACGAGTTCAGCTGCCCACAGCTAACATTGGGTCAGCTGCCCACGGCTAACATTGGGTCAGCTGCCCACAGCTAACATTGGGTCAGCTGCCCACAGCTAACATTGGGTCAGCTGCCCACAGCTAACATTGGGTCAGCTGCCCACAGCTAACATTGGGTCAGCTGCCCACAGCTAACATTGG